ACCTCAACCCACTGGATCCATCTGGCCTTGTCGCACGTGGCAATCAGAAAGCCGCTCTTCGAACGGGCATTCGCTACGTAGATGCGCTCCGTTTCCTGACCAACCACAACTGTTCGATGCTGGTCCATTGCCATAATCATCCGCCCAGGGTGGACGTTGGGATGTTTGATGTTTGGGTATCAGGAAGGGCATGGTATGGAATCAGGAACCAGTGCCTGCTTGACACAGCCGTCAAATGTACGAGCATGATCTATGTATGATCCGTAAAGTAGGAGAAAAAAAGGCAGCTGTGTTGATAAAGAACTCTGGTTACAGAGTTAGCCAGTGATCATATGAGCGATTGTGAAAACCCTAGGTTCACGGAAAGGACATCCACAAATTTGGGAAGGTCCCATCGCTTACCACACGTTTGTACAATAATGATATATGGTAAACTTGGGGGGTATCGCTTGCAGGAAACTGCTGCATTTATATATATATATGTGATGAACTATGAATAATATGTGATATTTGGGTATCGCTAATGTGGATATTAGAGAAATATGATGACATAACCTTGAAAAGGGGTATCGCTAATTTGGGAAGGTCCCATCGCTTACCTCGTGTTTTTAACAATTTCCATCAATTTCCATAAGCCAATGTCCGTCGAATACATATTTAGTATTGCCGGGGTTTTTACGGTTGCTCATATGATCATTGTACTAATTGAATCAGATATATACTAGATCTTGATATATCTACTATAATCTACTACTGTGTCGATAAAGGGTTCCACCACATTCCACCTAGTCCAATTTTTTTCGAACTCTGGTCGCTAGCGACCGCCGCCCAGATTTCCTGGTAAATCCATAGCCCCGCGAGATTTTCCCTTGAACCAAGCTAGTGATGTACCCACTGGCAATCAAACATGGCTTGCTGGAACCCCCCATCTAGTTTTAATGTTTTTCCCATTCAAACCTCCATTTGGTTCAGAGATTTCTCTTTGCCTGCCATGTTTGATGACACCGCAGAGTAAATCCATCCATGGATAGAGTATGATCTCAAGTTATATATCTCAAGTTATATGTCTAAAGTTAAATTTAATTAATTATCCCCATTTCCAAATGTTCTTTCTGCACATCCGGCCAGTGATATCTGACTCGCGGCCATGTGGTTCAGCACTCGCGACTGCAAGTTCTCATTCAACGACGCGAAGACCGTGATGGCGCGCAGGTCCAGGTCGCCCTCTTTCAACAAGCCTTCCTGGTGCACAGAACTGCAATGGTCGATTTGGAAAGGGTCACCACACATAAATTTGGGTGAATCAAAAGATATATGGATATGCATATAGTGTGTGTATACTATATGATGTTATATAAATATGTATAGTAATAGTAATATAATACCATCATATAATATATAAATTGATATGCATCAATATACATGTTCACATCCAATATCTATTTATATCAAATGTATAAACATCTCAAGGGGTAGCTGCGTAGCTGGCAGTTGGGCTCCTCGAAGAGCTTCTCCAATCGCTCTCTGATGTCTGCCGGAAGCTGCTTGATGGCCACGGCCACAATCTCCTGTTCACCTGGGTGGTGCAGCACAGGGCTCCCAAAAACCATGGGGGAAAACAGGGAGGGAAAGAACAACGGTTGCAATGGGGGGAAAAATGGGGAAAACAATGGTTGTTCACTACTGTGGTATTCTTGGGTTGATTGATTGTGACCTATTCGCATAATTTTACATACATAATTACATATAATTATATACATGTTCTGGGGGCTAGAACCTCATGTCTGACGGCTACAGCATGCTACAGCCCACTGAAGCATCACATCTTAGAAATCGCCGGACATATTCTTTGTTGGGCATCCAACTTTTACCCATCTTTTACCATGTGTTGTCCTTCTGTTTGGGGGGCGCTAGGAAAACATCCAAGCCGCCCATTCTCAGCCGCAGCCAGGGCACTGTTTCCGGCCTTGGCCGCGGAGGCCACATCTTTCGGCTCGCGTGAGCGCGAGCGACTGCGATCTCCCATGGTGGCGGCGTCTGAGCTTCACCGGACCACGGCGTTGGAACCAAGGACGGCTACGGCGACGAAGCGGTCAAAAACTGACGATGAAACGGGGGCAACCGGGAGCACTGCGGGTGAACTTCTCATTTGAAGGAGTCTTGAAGATCGTTTAGTACCTTTTATCGAGATTTATTGAGTACCTTTTATCAAATAATATGTGGGGTATGAACACCTCATTGTCTGGAGGGATGTATCAAATTCTTGGGGGTTGAGGAAACATAATCAAAATATTTCAAAATGACTTACGAGCAACATCGAGCAACTACATAGTTGTATATAAATTCAAAGATCTTCTAAGGCTCTAAGGGTAACCTAGAACTAGCCAGAAGGATTTTATATATATATATATATGTATATATATATATATTAAAGATTTATTAATGAAAAAAAAACGGTTTGCATCTGTGGTTCCTTGGCATTCCTTATAGATTTAAAAACTGTCCCACAGCCATTCGCAGGAGTTCCCTTGCCATTTCTTCACCTCGCTGCACAAACCTCTTTAGAGCTACTGTTCTGAACTGTTGGGCCGTCACGACATGTCAAGAGCAAAAGGGTGTTTTCCTGAGATTCACTTGAAGATTACTAAGATTACCAATTACATTAATTACAATATTTCGTTTAAGCAGAGTCAGAAAGGTTTGCACTTTGTGGATGATAAGCAATCATTTCTGGGCTTTGGTGGTGAGGATATTTTAGCTACAATTTCCCCCTGTTGGATACACGTTGTCACCCTCTCAGCTGTCCAGGCCCGCAAAGGTAAACAAACGGTTATCTTTCAACTTTCGATACAGTCTTGGTGACAGTGAAAGCCCGAACAGGCTGCTCGGCGAGAGAGGGTGTCGGGAAAATCGCCAATCTGTGATTTGTTCGGCGCTTCAAAACCCAGTCTTCATCGCCCAACAGCGACCAGGGGTTGGATTCTTGGGTGCCGCATAGGTAATGTAGTCAGTTGTGCCAACTCATTTAGCACTTTCATTCAAATAGAATACACATCTGTTGATTCACCATACCTTTACACATGATTTAGAAAAACAGCCACAATCATCACAAGTGACGTATAGGGGTGGACGCACATATGACACCGCTGAATCATATCAGATTCGGTCAGGTGATTTCATGTTGTTCTTGGATGTTCCTGGCGATGTTCCCCAAAAACGAATGGCCACCGTGTACCACCTACCACCCATAAATGCATTTGGGTCAACACATGTCAACACCTATGATGCCGTCTGATTGGGGGGCTCGGCATTCATGCGCACAATTACATAATATCATTACCGGCTTTCAATTGATGTGAAAGCCAAAGGTACCCGGTACCCCTAGTGAACTGACCTACTGTACTACTGTACAAGCATCTTAGAAGTGGCTGATGTTATCGGCACCCAGCAAGAAACAATTTCAAGAACGGCAGGGCCCTTACCTTTGGTAAGGTGCCGTTCTCAGAGGAATCCTTGGGGAAGCTCCTGACGCAGCGGTTGGGTGATACTGAACCCTGGCAGCCCTGGCACATGCTAAGGACGTAATAGGGTTGCAAGCTCCATTGAACACATTGGGATCTGAAAACAATGATATTGCCCACTGGTAAACTAACATAACTATGGAAAATCACCATTTTTAGTGGGTAAATCCACTATAAATGGCCATTTTCAATAGCTATGTTAAATTACCAGAGGGTACTATTACAGCAAGTGGTCTCAAAGCGCCCTGGTTGAGTAGCAATGACTGCGAATTGTACTGGTCCATGGTGTCTTGTTCGTCTACACGAAGGGTTTTGCCACTGCTCAACTCATCCAGAATCCGTTCCTAAAGCTGGGAGATGTTTCCGAGCAATATGATCTGTGGTGAGCAGGCATGCTGGTTCAACACATATATACAGTATATAATATATATATATAATATATAATATAATATATATGTATATATGTAATATGTATGTATATATATATATATCGCAACACATACCTCTAGAACGCAACGTGAACCTGTCGGGTTTCGGCATAAAAATTAAGGTTCGAAGAAAACAATCCAAACATGCCCCTGAAAACATGGAAGGGGGTGCCCAAACCCAGGAATTTTGTTCTGGACATGTCCCACTACTGAAGTGCTGCTGAGACAAATAGAGCGCTCAGTCTGAAACCGTTTACTCAGAATGGTCGCCCAATGGGTTCATTTAGCAGTGTTTTTGGTACTGTTTGCCCCAAATATTATTTGATGGATGGGGTGGGAACTCCTCACCATTTCAGTGGTACATGAGTAAGTATCTAAATCATCAACACTTAAAAAACATACCAATGGATGGTTCTACATCCCTTCAAAATTTATTTTAAAACCAATGTACTGAAATTATCTGAAATCGTAGTTAAATCAAATAAATATGCTGAAATCATAGTTAAATCAAATAAATGTACTGAAATCATAGTTAAATCAAATAAATATACTGCAATCATAGTTAATTCAAATCACTGTACTGAAATCATAGTTAAATCAAATAAATGTACTGAAATCATAGTTAAATCAAATAAATGTACTGAAATCATAGTTAAATCAAATAAATGTACTGAAATCATAGTTAAATCAAACAAATGTACTGAAATCATAGTTAAATCAAATAAATGTACTGAAATCATAGTTAAATCAAATAAATGTACTGAAATCATAGTTAAATCAAATAAATGTACTGAAATCATAGTTAAATCAAATAAATGTACTGAAATCATAGTTAAATCAAATAAATGTACTGAAATCATAGTTAAATCAAATATCTGTACTGAAATCATAGTTAAATCAAATAAATGTACTCAAATCATAGTTAAATCAAATAATGTACTGAAATCATAGTTAAATCAAATAAATGTACAATCAGTTTAAGGTACAGTACGTGATAATCAAATCCACATGTGATGGATCCATCATGTCCCAAACGCCACGAATTATGTCCTCACAGGAGCTCAACGGCCGGCATCAAGCTGCTCTCGTTAATCATGTCGTGAACCCCCTGCCGGGAAGAGGAAGAGGACAAGCCAAGAACAAAAGGAATTGAGTGATGGATCTGACATTTTGTGGTGATTATTACTTTGAGATCCCAAAAATCAAACAACTATTAAATTAACAAAAAAGGTCAGGTATGGGTCGGGTCATTCTGATGTCTTGAAGTCAAGGTCATCATTCGGATGGCATTCTCTTCATCACCAATGACACCAGCTTCCTCAGCTGGCGGCTAGCCTCCAAGAAGAGGGGCCCGAAAGGCAAAACGCAAATGGTTGTCCTGGGACAGGCACTCTAATGATACATCATCCAAAACTCAACAGAGCCCCTGAGCTGGTAGTTCAGAATCTTTCGAAATCATGAAACGGCCACCTATCATCTTAGATTCCATTTATATTTTGTCCGGTATCAGTTCCCCATTTGTTTACGGCCTGCCATCCAATGTTTGAAGCCCAGCATCACCACCGTCTGCAGCACAGTGGGCATCATACCCCAGCCGCGTCTTCCCAGCCAGGTCGTCTTTACGAGCATCACCTGAGACAGCATCTGGAGCCAGGCGTTGAAGATTCTGTTTGGATGATTTGGCTAGTGACGTGTATATTATATATATATGATTATAAATGTGTATATATATATATAAGACGATTCTTATGATTAAAAGCTTTGAAGATTCTGTCTTTGGGTTGTCTCTATTCTATGTTTATGTGTATTTGCTGTTTTATAGCTTTCATTAAGCTGTTTGGGGGTCCATTTCAAGTATATCAATCCATTTCACGGCGAATTACAGCAATCCCCAACAAAAATAGAAACAATTACCCTCCAGTAAATATTTAACATAGACCCTGCCAGATAGGGGTTGGAAGATTAGTTTCCATTAAAACAACGTTATTTTCAGGGTCTATGTTTATTGAGGGTAGAAACATAGAATCCTGCTATATAAAAATACTGGAAAATCACCCTCTTTAAATCTCTTAGGTGGTTACTATACGACACTTAAGGCTTCCACATCTACGATTTCCGGCGCCCCGCAACCTGCACAGCTGTGGCCAAATATTGCAGCACGAAGAAGACCAAGACCTGGCGATATATGGCACATCTAATATCAACAGTAATGCACTGTAGATATCTGTATATATAAATGGAAATGGAAAATATATAATCAAGATGGGAATCATGGAAATTACTAAGTTTCGAGATCAACTCAACAAGTACTGCGGTCTAGATTGTGGATCATCACTCATTTGTCACATCTTTCCAGCTGTTTCTTCAGCTCCAACTGACCCAAGAGACGGCATCCCTTGGCCTTGCCCGGAGAGTAGCGGCTCCCTTCGGGCCGGGCTAGGTGGAGCATCAACCACATGTATTCGTGGAAGACACCGGACCTCGGGGGGTTCTGAGGGGGCTCCCAAACCACCGATTTATGGGAACAAACTTAAGCCACGGCTATAAACATATGTGGTTTAAGTATGGTGTTTACATGTGTCTACTAATTATCAAATATTATTTTAAAAAAATAATGGTTGGATCATCTTGGGTCAAAATGGTTGGACCTATCCAATGCGTAACTGGGTACCTTCCAAGTAAATTGGATGACTTCTTGGCTTGAAACTGTTTGCGGGTCAGCCTGCTGTGGGGCCCGAGACAGAAAGTTAAGGAAAATCCAACTTGGACTGTGAATCACGAACGCTGACACTAAGGTGCTGAAGCCTCCTTCGGTTGCTCATCCCAGCAAAAGTGATGATATCCACTGTTCAGCTCAGTGATTGGTTGGTCATAGATCTTGCACACAAATCTTCCCATTTTTTTGTTGGCTTAATGGCAAGAATGGCAAGAGGCATCTTTTTAGGGATCCAAATGGATCCAAGAAGAAAACGCAGTCCACTGAGGAACAAAAGGCCCCCACCTGTTGTATCCAAGTGACATGAGAAAAGACACAAAGCCTGCAATGTTCTTCTTCACAGGTCCACCATGCTGAAACGGCATAAAGAAGCACCGCTTCATCAAATTGTGTACCTAGAGTTCTGCCCGAGGTCGGCCCATCACTGCAAAAGGGGCACTCAGAAACAGAAAAAACGTAGAGACCTTTATGCCTCCATATGCCCTCTGGTAATTTAACATAGCTATTGAAAATGGCCATTTATAGTGGAATTTCCCATTAAAAATAGTGATTTTCCATAGCTATGTTAGTTTACCAGAGGGTACCTCCTATGCCCAACCAAATAGAGTTTTTAGACCCTCCGACCCTCCCAAAACCACAGGTCTCAGGTCCTCGGCACCCTCCATCCCAGCCGAGAGGCGATGAGATTCCACCTCCGACCCCAGAAGTCCCGAATCGACGTGGATTGCGTCAGGGGGGCCTTCATGGTGACCTGGGGACTTGGCCGATCAAATGTCACCAGGGGCCTGACCCTTCTGGTGACAAAGTGGCAGTCAGGACTCAGGACACAAAAAAATGGCGGCCACAGAAGTCAGATTCATTCAGATTCAAACCTGTTTTTTTTCCATATGTTCAGCGGTTTGACCCGAACTTATCCTAATTTATTTTTGATTCCAGGTGTCTAGAAACCTCCGAGAAAGAAGAGAAAAAGCAAGTTTGCCAGTATTTTAGTGTAGAGGTATATTCATGCCAACTTTTTGGGGTTACCATTTACGGCACCAAAAACAACAGGCACACCCGACCCAAAGTTCAAATCAGGCAACCAAAGTCTCGAGGCCAAAGAGCGTGGCCATGATGCGATGGTACAGCATGGGCAAGGTCAAACAGCAGTAGACCCAAACGGTTTGTAAATACCTGGGCTGAAACTTGGGCAGGATCACATGGGATCACATGGGATCACATGGGTATCTAACGGTATCTATATCTATCTGTCTGTCTGTCTGTCTGCCTGGCTGTCTGTCTGTCCTTTTGTCTGTTTATCGGCTCATCTATTTATTGATCTATTCTCCTGTCTGCTGTATCTATCTCCCTCCCTATCTATTTAGTTCTATTTATTCATCTGCATACATGGCAGAAACTTGACGTATGTTGGCGATTCTGGTGATATGTAAGGGATGACGCCTGTCGGCACCTGTATGGTGAGGTCGGGCTAGTGAGGTCAATAAAAGCCTGTTGGGTGTCACAAAGGTTAGTGGAGACAGGGCGGGGGGTTCACAATGACATGCCCTACAACATCCAACTTCAGATTGGTTGTAGTTGAGATTACCCTCTGGTAATTTAATATAGCTATGGAAAATCACCATTTTGAATGGGAAAACTCACTATAAATGGCCATTTTCAATAGCTATGTTAGCTTACCAGAGGGTAGCTTGGGACATTCAGAGTCATCCATGGTCCATCCAAACACTTGGAAGGTGAGGAGAGTATCACCCGACTCCGAGGTGCAGGGCAGGTAGCGACCAGGGGAGCCCATAGAAGGGCAATTTCGCGGGAATCTCCTCACACCGATGGACCCGGTGAAAGGAAGAATTTTTGTTTGTGGATTCTCAACATCCCAAACCACAAACAAACACAATGCTACTTACTTGAATGGATCCCACCTCGAGAAACAAAGAGAAGAACATAGAAGAACAACATGTTCCTTATGAATTCCCAAGACCAGGACCAGATTTTTATAAGCACAGCAATCACAAAACGTCACCACATTTCTCCCAAAAATCACCACACATCCCAAGCCGTCCTCCAAGAAGGGTTGAAACCTGGTGGCCTTGCCCACGCTCAGAGCTATTAACCTCAGCACCAGCTGACAGGAAGCCAGCAATGGGAAATCCACATCCCAAATGGATCCAAATGGAAGTTTATGGGAAAAATCCACTATATCTGTAGGCTTCAATGGGAAAATCCACCCAAAACGGAAGTTTTAGGTGGGAAAATCCATGAAAATCCACTATAAATATGGGATTTTCCAGCCGTGTTTGATTAATGGAAGGTAAGGCCAATGGCCAGCCATCCAATTGAGGTCACCCGAAATCATGGGCCCTTGCCATGCCATTCTTTCACGTAAATTCAGGCCCATATGCTCCATGTATGGTATATATTTACCTACATTTGGGTGATTCTTAGGGCAAATGTTGGTAAATATTCCATACATGGAGCATATGGGATATGTTTATAAGTATATATGATAGTCTGGTTGGTGGTATACCTACCCCTCTGAACAATATGAGTTCGTCAGTTGGGCTGATGAAATTCCCAATATGGAAAAATAAACATGTTCCAAAGCACCAATCAGTAATTGTATCTAAGAATCTAACACAAAATCACACAACATCAAAGCCACTGCCACCCACCCCAGGTTAGGATTCTCCTTGTCCCAGTGGCATGATGGAGCTATGAAATGCTAAGCGCAGAAGTAAATCCAGAGCCCTGCGCCACCTTTCGCCGCTGAGGAATTTCAACTTGCCATCCTCGAACTGAAGCTCTGCCGGCATGCCTTGCATCTTGGCCACCAGGAGCAGGACGATTGTCCCAGGATTGTCTTTTTAGGGTGTGTCTGAAAGTGGGGTAGCCCCAAATAGCAATTCTAAGTGGAATAATTATGACAATTTATGGATTTCAGGGGCCCATTTTCAGACAAACCCTTGTTAGTTTTCAAGCAATGAGGTCCAGTGGGATTGCTAAACCCCACTGGTCCTGCGTTTATTTGGGTGAACCCATCAGCCCAATGCCCAGCGACTGAAGTAGAGCGCAAAGGTGGTGGCAGTGGCATCAAATCCCTTGGGTCCCAAAGAGGCCGCTAACCTTAGCATAGTCCCTAGCTGGCAGGGCGCAACTTCTTCTAATGCTCTAACTGTATCCAATGGTAATTTAACGTAGCTATTGAAAATGGCCATTTATACTGATTTTTCCCATTAAAAATTGTGATTTTCCATAGTTATGTTAGTTTACCAGAGGGTACCCCCCACAATTTTTTTGGCCTGGTTCCATGCCATGGAAATTCGGATCTTCCCCATATCAGGCCAGGGCGGTTTTTTGGATGACAAGCTATGAATTTTGTGCCCACAAATGCCCATCATCCACCGAAGGCCGGGGAGCTCTAACCATCGAAAGGTCGATAAGACTCCCGAATAGGCCAAGATGAAAAATGACATCCGCGACCTGATCCAAGAATGCGATTAGTGGTTGCGGCCTGATCCTAGGCTGGATATATATGTTTTTTCGTTCTTTTCCAAGTATGTGACCATTCATTTTTATTCATGATTTCTTGATATTTTTTGGGGGGTATATATGGCTATATATGATTTTGATATATGTTGATCCACTCACCTGTCTTAAATCCTCGGCACCTCTGCAGTCCCATCCCCCATTTTCGTAGCCCATGGTGTACCGGTGATCTCTGCAGGGATCTCCCAGGCCATCGCCTCAAGCTACCCAACAGCATGGGCAAAACAAAGGGATGGGCTGCCCAGGCGGCACCGATGCCCATGGCCAAGAGAGGTTTCAGCTCCTGAAACAAGGGCGAAATTTGTGCATCTTGGGCCGGTTTCTATGACAGCTTGGTTAAAATAGGTGTATACACATATAATATACACACATATATATAATATACATATATATATATATATACACATGCAATTCTTGGATGATTCCATTCTACCATTTGAAATCTCTCTGAATATCTTTCGCTAGGAGTACAGAACTGCAAAGGGCGAGGGGAACGGTTTCAGCTTATATATTTCCATGTATGTTCTTGATGTTTAAGTTAAATCCAACATAGAACGAAGATGAACTGACTAAGGACGGACTGCCTTTGCAATGCTACCAGGGCATAGGGATTCATCCGGATGGTGCAAGTGGCCAGCCACTTGTTGAACACATCAGCAGCAGTCTCTTTGTGGTTTCTTGCTGATTCAACTGCAGAACTGAACGCCTCCCAATCTCAACGTTCATAGGTCTTGTTTGCCTTTCAACGATAACTGATAACTTCATATTCTGTCAACTTGAGGACGGGTAAGACAAACATATGTCCATCATCATTCCAACCCAACAAATATATGTTGGACATTTAATGATCCAGCGGACCCTGCTGTGTCCTTAAGACCCAATGGCTTCCAGGATTCCAAAATTGCTTCAGGGGAAAGTTGCGAGGGTTATCCCATTGGATTTTGGCAGGTAAATAATGGTAAATCTACAGTCTACTGCAGGTTTTCGCATTCAATAAATCACCTTTTGTGGTGTTTAGAAACTGGTCAGCCACCCAAAGAAAACCTCTGCTGGATGAGGCCTGGAGGTAGAGATATGGCAGCAACAGTTTTGCCTGCTGCGTTGGCCCATTTGGGCTTCCAACCAGGGAAGGACGAGTTCAGGTTGCGTTGATGGGTGTGGAAAATGTGGAAGCATGTGGAAGCCTAAAAATCCTAAAATTTGATGCTAGGGTCAGCTAGGGTCGGAATATTCAAGGTGTGGAAGCTAACATTGAGCGGCTCTGCAGATGGGGAGCCCTTTGTCCTTTGTGATCTGTTCACGTCCACGCGATTGAACTCTTGGATTCCGATTGTCAGATTGCCATTTAATTTCTTGAAGCCCCTGACTCACAAGAGTTGTGGATTCTATACAAGTATGCTAACCGGATCTAGAAGGGCACTACCAGGGTAAAGCTAATCATGGCCCTTCCGTCTCAGGTGTTGCCTCCTGGCACCTGTCTGCGCAGCGATAAAGTTTGAAGGCAGCATAGCCAAAGATGAAGCGGAACGGTATGCACAACACAAGGTCCAAGAAGAGAACTTCCTCAGCACCGACCACACAGGTTGAGGGCAGAGATTTCGGGATTTTTTTGCAGAAATCCCATAACTACTGGCTTTGCAACAATCCCAACTAAACTAAACCAAATAGCATAACCATAATTTGAACATATATAACCATCAAGCAGCAAGGCTTCTAGATATTTCTCATCCCTTGAGACGAACCTGTAGTGACTCTCTGGGATCCCCCTTGAAATCGCCAATGGCCAAAATGGGATTTCAAATTGTTCAATAATTTGCTCCCATAACATCCCATACCCTTTTGGTTGAGTCTGGTCTTGAATTCACCTAGGTTCGCCCTCTGGCTCTGGAAAAAAAAACTATTTGTGGATCTATCCACCCACGCCCAAACGCCTGCTGGACAGCATCAGGGAATGCTGAATTCAGAAGGATATGTGTCCTTTCAACTTTTGGGAGGGTACCTAGTTCAACAAGTTTCGCACATATCCTGCATAACCAATCAGTAGCCTACAGATTTTTTCAGGAAGTTCTCCTCTCCAACCAGCCTTGAACGTGCACTCTTCAAGGTTCGTCCTGCCTCGGTACATCGGTCAATCTCAGCCGAGCATCGGTCAAAGCTAAAAGATCCCCAGAGTAGACTTGGAAACCCAGAGACGGCAGCCTCAGGGCTCAACTGCCGCTGGCAGTGGTCAAAAATGTCTAAATCGTTGCCTCAACAGTTCCAAAATGTTCCAACGTGATTTCTTCATGACACAATATGACATCCATGGCTCTTAGGATGCTCTTAGGTTGCATGGATGGTGGGGGATATGAATCTCAATAGTCCTGCCAAAACAGTTGTCCAACAGCAATGATTTTGGCGGAAGCCGGGGGGACAAAGCAATTGGGGTAGAGCAATGCTCCTGATCTTTTCACAAGTGTCACTGGTTGATAGCTTCAACCAATCCCAAAAAATATGCCGGTCAACTTGCGATGAAACATCACCGGAAACTGAGCAAGGTTCTATAATGCTCAATATTCAATATGTTTGAGCTTAGCTCCGATCATATATTAACCAAATATTATCATATCAATTCATATCATCCAGCAGCTGACAGCCCAAAAGGTTTTTTCTGCCAAGGCTCTGCAAGTGCCAAGCTGTGAGGCCCGGAACTGGTGCCAACAGGTCGTGGAATGGAATTTGGCCCGTTTTCACCATGTTCATCAATTTTCTTCATCAGGCCCAGGTAGATCTAGGATGATCTGGGCATATCATGGTATATCCAAGTAGTAAAAGTATCTTGCATACATAGCCAGCACAGGGGTTGAACACAGCATCTGTGTCACCCTCAGCCGTTCAGAGGTGAGTCCTTCCTGCCTGGCACGGCTGCAATGCCACTCATGACGGGCGCGCAACCCGCGGCGCAAGCACTTTGCGGTGCCGCCAGCGAGGTGAGCCAATGACTTCGGCCACCACAACCCGATGTGGGCGAAGCGGTGCAAGATATGCAGGGTGTATGTTGGTCATGGTGGATGGTGGTGCGGATTTTGTGTATCTGTATGCCCCTATGTTAATAAATATATAAATATGTATATATGTATCTATATATATATATATATCATTATATATCAATTCATCTATAGTTGTTTATTTATTTGTTATTTATCATTTTTTATCCTTAATTAGCTCACCAAAGCCAACCGGAACATTATAAGGAATCATCAACAATCTACCAAAATTGCATGAATGATGAGGTTCTTCGGGACCTATAGGGGGTCTATTGTGCGATCCACAGGACTGTCCACCCAAAACCCACAACGAGAGCCTGCAGTGGCTCATGGCCATTGGAACACGTCACCTTTGGGAGTTAAGCACTGCATTTTTGGTGCCTTAAGATGGGAAAATATCATGTGGCATGGCTTGGGAACCACAGCTCGAGGCCGCACAGTGGAATTCATCATGGGTTGGATTGAGTGGCAAAGCCAACCTAGCAGAGAGTAGAGGAGACCTGATTTTATAAAATATACGTGTTCTTGTTGCACAATGTTGCACATATGTGTCAATGTGTCAATTCATTTGTTGTGAACATTGAACATTTACTGTACCAGTATCATGCGAATTTTGGGAATATTGAATAAAAACTGTGAATATGAATCATTTATCCGCCTCTACAATTTGTGGTCCTCTTTCATTCAGCACCAAGTGCAAAACCTGGAGCCAGGAAAGGGGTGTTCACTGGGGATCATCATCCCACTGATTGGGCAACGTCTGGGTAATGTCAATCGTGGCGTCTGGACCCGCGTTGAACACAGCAATGACCAGCTTTGATTCGCTATAGAACATGTTATACAAATCGGTTTGGAAGCCACCAACAAGCCATGGTGAATCGTATAGATACTTTAATGTTAGATATTCAGCGCGCAAACACAAACACACATACAAAAAAAAGTATTGTTCTTAGCTGCTTCCCCTAGTTCCCCATCAAAATCACATAAATCACCTTCAGAATCAGTCCATCAACCTGCTCACATCGACCATTTGGGTGAGCACCATGTTCTTCCAACCCGGGGCTGACACGTTGCCTGTCTGTGATATTACCATGAACTGGTCCATGTCAGGCGGACTTTCAGGAAGGTCAAAGTAATTATTCCCACCGCAAAGGAATCAGATTGAATAAGGCATATGGGCAAACCATGGTAAACCAATGGTAAACCAACATTTACATACATTTACTAGAATAGTATTCATAGACTAGACCATTCAAGTTATTTAATTGATTTTAATTGTATTTGATTGGCACCTGAGGTCACCTGGTCCCCGTTTTCACCGCCCAACCATGCCATGAAGGGAGCCGAAATCAACGTGGATTCCCCACGGTGTTCGACCATCTTCCCGGCTGGTGCATGCTATGGTACCATGCCTTTGTACATAACGAAATCACGAATTCAGAGCTCAAAGCGAGCGAGGAAACACTGGCCGAACTTCGCACATGGGTGTCTCAAGATTTTTAGCGCCCCATAGTGCCCCCAATCAAGTGATATCAAGTGCATTAGGTATTCTATAGTATAGTGCTTGTTGGAATCCAATGTAATATGTTGGGATCTGTTCAAATTCAATTTGTCCAAGCTTGGAACACCCCAGTCCCCTTAAAAGGCGCGGGTGTCAGGGTTAAGGTGATGGCCTTGGACTGGTGGCCGGTGAACGGCTGGTGAATGGATGGTGAATGGTGATTCCCCCAACTATGATAGATCCATGATAGATCCATAGGTCTTGAACCCATCCCCAAATCATCATCCGTTTGCAGTAGGCATATTCATATTACTGATTGAGCATTTACTGCAAGTGATTGTCTCTAGTTAACTGTAGTATGCTTGGTAGTATGTGATTGACATGGGTCCTCATGGGTCTGGTAGTTTACGCCGATGGTGGTGGGATATGCCGATCGATAGCCACGGCTGGTGATTTGACCCCTTGAATGTCCGGGGGCTAAATCGTGAGGCCACCGATTGTCGTTGCTTATGTTGCACATGTTGATGGCAAAAAATACCATGGGTAACCACAAGAATACCATATTTTGATGGTTACCATTTGCAAAACATCCTTATTTGATCTTATTCGATGGTAACCACAAGAATACCATATTTTGATGGTTACCATCTGCAAAACATCCTTATTTGATCTTATTTGATGGTAACCACAAGAATACCATGGGGGTTCTGTCGGTTTTCCCTTCACTTAACCCACTCCCTGCAGGGGCCAACTGCCGGACTTCCCGCCCATCTTATAGACAAGACAGGACGTCCCAAAAATCTAAGCTTCCCACTTCTGTTGTAAGGCCTTCCCTGCACGGCAATGGACCCGCTTAAGAATTTGCAAAGAACCATTGGGGTACAACTCAGCTGTGAAGGGGACCCTAATTGAGGGACTGACCAAAATTGCCAGGGTGCGTGACTACTTGCTCACTGGGTTGCATGTCAAAAAACAGGAGGCGTCCAAGCATTTCCCATTAAATAAACCGCCTCGCGGTGTAGAAAATGGTGCTTCCAAAAAAAAGGCATTCCTCGAATATATCTCATACCTTGATACTTCATTCATATACCATACCAATTATATGAAGTTTGAAGAGAGGAAAATGCATTTCATATTTGGGGCCCTAGCATATCCCTAGCACATTTAGGACAGGCCAACACCCAACATGTTTAATTGTGCACTTGTATGCACTTGTCTTTATTAATTTCTACGTTGTTGACAAACCGCCCTGGTGCAACACACCGCCTGCGCGACGGCCAACGATTCCTTGATCTTTTGCGAAACGCCAAAAGGACTCGGGCACATGGCTCGCATCCTGGATCCCAGGGATTCCGACCAGTGATCCCCAGATATCCACAGAGATGGCCAGGTTGGTAAAGATTAGTATGATATGTAGCTTGAAGATTTGGTGAAGATAACCATGGGTGAAGCATGGTGAAACAACTGCAGTCCCGAACAATCAGTGATGATTTGCTCATGTTCCCGCTGATCGCAACAAGTTGGGGGTTGAGGGTTGCAGCACAACAAAGGCAAAACGTTGCAAGCCCTGTCCAGAACACCATCTGAACCATCCCAAAGCAAGCAGTAGAGAACCGTGCAAGCAGTACCTGGCAAAGTGACGAAACCACCAAGTTCAGATGAGACATGCCACATGGACGGACCTGACTAGACAATCATCCAGCCATTCTGGGAAGAGAGGCGCACAACTGTCACAACTATCAATGAGAATTTCAGGATCCTAAAATGGAGGTACTGTACCATATAAGGCCATATTTTTGGGGGATATTCCCTTACATAGGCCTTATATAGGCCTTATATATGGTAGGTACCTCCAATTTAGGTTCCTGAAATGGCCATTGAAACTAGCCCTATTTCCCTCCCTTTCCTCAGCTATGGGAGGTCTATGATGGGGTGCATTCCACAGTGACCAGGACGGCTTGATTCACCAGGAGCATCAGTCCGGCTGTCAACAGTCCTTAGTGACGTGGTGTCGTCAAATTCTACAATGACAGCAACCAGTTGCTTGCCAACAAAACCGTGCACAATAACCCCTGCCATACATACATATTGTTTGTATATATATATATATATGTGTGTGTGTGTGAATGATTATTAATCATTATATAATATTTCTCTCCACAGTCAAAGGCCATGTTGATGGCCATCTATCTCTCTTAGTGGTACCCCTGATTAATCTATCAGGGAGTGATCAATTCGGGGTTGATAGGGGACATGATAAAATCTACAAAATATTATGTCTATTGTGTTTCTTTTATTTACAGTAAATTTGACTGGACACCTGTCCTTTTATGAAAACATCAAGGACATGGTTTCCTCTCAGTCGTGCCATTTGCCTTCAAAAACCTACTGAATCGCGTGAAACGCTTCCATCAGCCTATCTTTTGATTGACGTTTTTTCCAGAAATCATCAGTTAAAGATGGGCAAAAACTCTTAACCCAAAAAATGGCTGGTTTAGCCTCAACCCCCTCAAAATCGGTATTCAAATGGGAAAATCATCCATATCTATATCTAGACCCATCTATCTATCTAATCTTATCTAATCTTATCTAATCTTATCTAATCTTATCTAATCTTATCTAATCTTATCTAATCTTATCTAATCTTATCTAATCTTATCTAATCCTATCTAATCTTATCTGATCTTATCTGATCTTATCTAATCTTATCTAATCTTATCTAATCTTATCTAATCTTATCTAATCTTATCTAATCTTATCTAATCTTATCTAAACTTATCTAATCTTATCTAATCTTATCTAATCTTATCTAATCTTATCTAATCTTATCTATCTATCTATCTATCTATATCTATCTATCTATCTATCTATCTATCTATACATACATACACATACATACATATATATATATATATGTGTGTGTTGGGTGATATTGGGTGATTTTCCAGCAAAAGATGTTTGATTACCAAATGGTAATGCTAAAATTGACCAGAAACGCCTGGACCCATTCATAGCCATGTCACCAGCACCAGCTTCAGCCAAGATACCCAGGACTTCGGGGCTTACGGCCTGACGTAAGAAGATGGTAGCGATGTTAATGAAAAAAGGTGGATTTAACCAGCAACAGTTGCGACTTAAGCTGCAAACATATGAGCCGCGGAAATTATTTGGTACAAAACGCAATTAACGGGGTGTTCCTACCTCGTTTTCCAGTCCCGTGATGTTTTTTGGGGTCTGACCTCGTTCTCCAATGCCGCACTTGTTTTTAATAGCAAAATACTTTGTGTGCGATGCCTACCTCGTTCTCGGGGTGTTCCTACCTCGTTCTACAACCTAACTACGATGTTTTCGACAAACCGGGGTACGCCGCAATACTATTCTCCATTTAACCAAATAAAAGACGCTGCTCATATGGGTTTCAAGTCTCCAAAATTGTGGTTCAGCCTCTGGTAGTCGAAGATTGCTATGGAAACTACCATTCCATGGTATAGATAAATGATCTACAAACATGCCATGTTCCTTTGCTATGTTAGATTGCCAAAGGGTAATTACAAGACGCAGGTTCAGGGTTCAACAATTCTGGGCAGCCAAATGCACATGAAACATCGACACGGGATGAATTGACGGTCTGGATGTAAACTCCACATACCCCTAGCCCCTCACACTGAGCGTCTAAAACTTGCTTTGTACCAATTTGTTTTTTATTGCACTTTTATCCATGCCATGACTATATAGAGCAATCCCCAAAAAAGACAAAACAGTTTAACTCCACCAGTATTTTACAGTAGCCAAATTCGATCTTTTGGAGGTCTGCTCTCTCTCTCTCTCTCACTATGTGTGCACATAGGTATCTAGATAAATCATGATAAATCTACAAATAGATAAGTATGTATAATAGACTTATATACCCTCCAGTAATCAAAGCTGACAATTTCCCCATTGATGCCTTTCCCAGCTACAAAGCTTGCTTCCCGACCTGCAGCTCCGTCAGAAGCAGCATCAGCTGTTCCTGTAGAGTCGGAAATCCAGACACCTCCGCGGTCCAAAAAACACCGGTCACAAGGGTCACAACAAGGGATGGGGGTAGCCTCCAGTGCCACTGAGATCCATGGGGAACTACAAGATGTGGGGGAAGAACATAGGGATGTACCCCCTGGTTATTGAACATAGACCCCGAAAATAGATCATGTTTAGTGGAAACTAACCTTCCAACTCCCTATTTGGCAGGGTTTCTGTTCATTTGGGGGAGGGTTTCTGTCTCTATGTCAACATATGAGACCGTACCCTGGGGATCCAATCACCTCCTTTTGAATGGGATTGGATCTAGGGCATATAATGACCAAAGATAAAGGATATTATGTTTGTTGGTCTGTAAACCCCTCTAGCGTCCAACTATCTAATTGTATATCATTGATATCCACCATAAAGCCAACAGTTCTTGAAGGAATATACACCAACTTTCCTATTCAGGGGTCTCCTCCTGTGGAACAAATAAACAAAACGTTCCACCAGGGTTTTGATGGGGGGTATTATTTAAGATAGCCAGAATCGCACCTGTGAAATCCAAGTCAATCCCATTCACGCTGTCAAAAAAAAACCCACGGTATTTAAAGGTCCTATATAGTTTGTTTTTCATCCCACAACTTCAATCCCATTAAAATTGTTAAATCCAGTTTATGGTCATCGATCCATGGTTCAATTCCATTCCATTCATGGTTAACGCCCATTAATGTTAGTAAAGCAATTACAAATCATCCCCAAAAGAAGTACTGGTGGTTTATACTTACTTTACTAACATCAAATCCCATCCCATTAAAATGCAGAAATCCCATTAAAATTGTGAAATTCCCTTATAAATCCCATATCTATCATATCATATGCCTTGGAAGGGAAGAATGGTTAAATTCCACCGTCATAGCCAGCTATCCGAGGACCCGCCTCCAACTGTCGATGAATCTCCATGGCCGCGGGCATCAGCCACTCACGCCTTCGTGCAGAGTAGATGCCTAGATGTACCAAGAGTTACCCAGAAAAATGGCATGAAACGTTGGAAAAATATGGAAAAATAGCATGGTAAAAAGAGGTGAATACAGATCCATGATATGATACATCGATGAGATTTAGACAACTTATTTATATATGTACTGATAAAAAGCCACCCTCAACAACTTAGGGTTCGTTCGTTTATGATCAGATACCTATACATGGTATGAAGTGAGCAATCAGTTCGTTTTTTTTTGGCCCAGATCCTCCCTGGTGATGCCTCATGTGGTTGGGAAATTCTGAGCTCCTTGGGTCCCCATTCCCACCGGATAGCACCGTCCTTGCTGCCACAAACCATGCAGTTGACCCAGCGATGACGGCCAGAATGGAACTTCCAACCAGTCGCCTTTGTTGAAACCGGGGCTGGTGGGTCGCCCTTGCCGTGAGTTATGAGATGTTGAGCGGAGCATCCTCTAGGTTCCATGGATATGACTCTGGCCGTGGAATATTCGCATATCTACATGGCGTATGTATATATATATATACATATACATATACATACATATATATATATATATATATGGGTGATGCACATTGGTTTATATGTATATATCATATATACAGTGTATATATATATATATTTATTACAATTTGTTGTTTGATACTCCTCACTACAAGTGAAGATAAACCACTCCGTGGCAGAAATCATTGTTGCCCAGCATTGGAAGACTCATTAAATATCCAAGATATCCAAGAGTGGCACCTGCAACAAGTTGCCACTCTAATACTCAAAGGGAATCTGGGGCTTGTACAGTAAGGCTTCAGGCGATTCCCTGAAGGCCCGAAGCTGCCCTCTCCTGGTCCAGTCAGCCTCTTTGCCAAACGAATAAAAAACAACCAACGCGGTGAAATTGTTTCTTGAAGAAACGTATGGGACGATTTGGATTCCAGAACGTGACGGTAGAAAACAATGAGATAGATGCTACTTGAGGCTATTTGTTTTGGTACCAGAGTTCTTGCCCATAGGATCCATGGTGCTGGTATATTAATGCTAACATGACTGGGGTATATTGATGGGATCCATGGAGCAATATATAGCAGCACCATGGATCCTATGGGTTGATAAACTCATCTCGCACTCCCAACTTCTTGGCCCTGGCAAGGCGCAGGAACCACGACACCAGCGAAAGGATGGAGACCAAGGCCATGTGGCTCCCAAGGATTTCGGAGGCCTCCAGGTGGTAAATATGGGACCCCCTTGGGATCCTTGGGGATTGGAAAAAGCGATGCGAATTTCCCCGGAAACGTCAGGGCCAAATAAGGACGGACCCCACGTTTTGGACGAGTTTTTAGTTCGGACACGTTCAAGAAAAATCTGGAAACCTGGGATTGGAGATGATGAAATGTCTGATTTAGTGAATTCCACGGATCCAAAAAGGAACCTCAGCCTCAAGCACAAGCGACACATTTTTTTCTCGATGAAGTTAGGTACAACATCAAATGTTCGTGAAGGAACCTGCCACACAGCATCTCTCATCAACAAAAATCACCAGCATTGACACCCTTTGGACCTCCCTGGCTGCAGCTGAAAAGGATTGGGAGCTCAAAGCGATGTCCACCTCATAGAATTTGCGGGCACACGCATCTATCTATATTATATATGTATATATATATATATGTGTGTGTGTGTATCTATATCTATATCTATATCTATATCTATATCTATATCTATATCTATCTATCTGTCTATCTATCTATCTATATATATATTGTATATATATATGGGTGCGAATCAAAAATCGGGTATGGATCGCTCCGCGGTGATCCGTACTATGGATCGCGAGCGCTTACGTAAGGTGCCTGATCCGTACCCTTTCGTAAGGGCTCATCATAGCATACAAACTGTGCTGATACTCCCCGACTTGCTATTACTTCTCCTCCTGCTACTGTTGCTGCTAAAACTGTTACCACTGCTTGTCGAGGGAGCAGAAAAAAAACAGCACCAGCAGCAGTAGTGGCAATAGAAGGATAAGATGCAGCAGCAGTAGAAATAGCAGTACCAGTAACAGTAGTACTAGTAAAAGTCAATAGTAATCTAATGGTAGTAGCAGCAGTAGCAGCTGCAGTAGTACTAGGAGTAGTAGGAGTAGGAATAGCAGCAGGAGCAGCAGCAGCAGCAGCAGGAGCAGGAGGAGTAGTAGTAGTAGTAGTAGGAGAAGCAGCAGCAGCAGCAGTAGTAGTAATAGAATCGGACTTTCATATTGGCATTTGTTGTGGCGTGACTGGGTTCGGGTATGGATCGGGTATGGAACGGGTATGGATCGCGGTATGGATCGGGACACGCTATCTGGGCCGGCTTTCACGCTATGGCTGTGAAGGAAGAGAGCGGGGTATTTCAAGTCTAGTCTAGTTCTACATGTGCCAGATAAAGCAGAAACAGAAGGACTTGTAATCATAGCGCCACTAGAAGTACAAGAAGCACCTAGCCTAGTGGAACTAGAACCGGTCTTACTAGCTTCCAAGGTGCGCTTGCAATATTGCTAGTAGCTACTCAACTAGTTGCATTTGTCCAACTACCAGAAGCACACGGAGGAAGTGAACCAGCATCAGCAGCGAGAGCAGGACCAGCAGGAGCAGCAGCAGAAGCGACAGCAGCAGCAGCAGCTCCTGGGAGGAAGATGACTAGTAGTGGCAGCAGCAGCAGCAGCAGCACGGAAGCAGCGGAGGCAGCGGAAGCAGCAGTAGCAACGATAGTAGCAACAGTAGTAGCAACGGGAGTAGCAACGGGAGTAGCAGTACGAGGACCAGAAGCAGTATTAGGATAAGAAACAGCATTAGGGCCAGCATCAATCCTTTTTTAGTGAGAAAGCGGTATGGATCAGGGGTATGGATCAAGGGTATGGATCATGCAGTACCACAGGGTATGGATCAAGGTATGGATCGGGGGGTATGGATCGTGTGTGGGTTCGGGGCCTTGATCCATACCTTGTATTTTGACTCGTACCCATATATATATATATATGCACGCCATTCCATAACCTACGTCAGTCAATAGGTTTTTAAAACTGCAAATATGCACATCCATTATCATCCTTTCCATATCGCTGTAGAGACATCATGCAACATCTATATATATATATATACACCATTCTAATTCTTTCTATACATTGATTCAGAATAGATGAATAGACTATACTCCTTCAAAGCAAATAAGAAACGCCCACGGAGCCCATCTCGTGGTTTGAAAGCACCAGGAAACATATGCGTGGGCACTGAGGAATTCTGTCCAGGCTTGCAGAGTCGCGAGCAGCGCATCGCAAAAGACCTTGAGACGTTGCCATGAGCCCCGTTGTGTTGTGGGAAATGTGGAGGGAATGGTTCAATCATAGCTGTCCCAAGTATAACCGATATCATCAATGATAACTAGCTGAGATTATAAATCAGTGATCATCACTACAGCTATCATAACGATCACGAATCAATGATAATCAATGTACTTGACTTTAATGTCCAATTCATTGAGCTTCATGGGGCCAGGCTAGGAGAGACTTGGCATTAACGATGTCACGGTGCCTCCATTTGAGCAGCTCATTCTGCGAATTGCAGTGAGTGCCTAAAAAGGGGCGACATATTTATTTTGCATCATTTTGCAAGACTCTATTGTTTTTTTATTTCAAACCTCGTTCACAGCAACAAGAACTAGGAATCTAGGCAAGCAACAGCGAAGCATTGGCAACACCGCCGCCGCTTTCGCTTTGCATCTTGTGCATCATCCTGAAGCGGGGGATGTCAATTGCCTTCTGCTTAGGTGTACCATGCTCAAAAACAGCATTGGACTGACCTTCATACAATATGTACAATGTACTGTATAGATAATTAAGCAAGTATCAAAGAATTATCAAAGCCCCTGTTTTGACCCAGCACACGTCGTCCTGCCTTCCTACTACCAGGTAGCAGTCACATTCAACGCAGTTTAACCTGCAAAACAATGTGTATCGAAATAAATAAAGTGTCCCAGTATCATCCCCGCTTTCATCTCCCATCTCCCATCAGATTCCAGTCCGATTCCATCAAAATTCTGTCTTTTCACAAATTTGAGCTTTCAAATGGACCATTCTACCCCAGTTTTATAGCGTTTTATATGGAAGATCACCACTTTATCACCACTTTATCTCAGGTTTTCTATTTTTTTCCATGGTTTCTTCATGGCTCCACCACTTCCCCATTGTCGCCCCGGGATCCACCTCGGCCGCCGCGGCGTGCGCCAGGTACAGCAGCCAGCGCAGCAGCCGCAGCAGCGCCAGGGCGCTGGCGCCTTTGGCCAGCGAGCCCAGGTGCCAGAGGAAGGCAACCACCAGGCCTGGGTCTGGGGGGTTTGGTTGGAACATTGGGGGCATCATAGTTGGAAAGGTCTCAGAATATGACCAGGAATACTCAGAATACATTTTTAAGAAGATTGGTTTAGTGATCAAATACTCAGAATATAACCATGGTATAGTTGGCATAATATGGCATAATTGGTTAGGTACAATATAACGATGGTTAAGAACTCTGTAGGTAATAGAATCTGAATTGATATAGTTAGAGTTACCTGGGACCATCAAATGATGAATAGTCGTCCTGGCAGTGAAATTGCTGATGGAATTGTTCAATGGATTGTTTTTTTTGTTGGGGAAATGTACGGGAAACCATGCGAAAATTCACCCAAATTTGCAGGTTTCCTACAGGTGCTCCCTTAAATTAAACCAATTCCGTAATATGGATCGAATTGGTTCTACTAGATATGCATTCCGTAATGGATCTAAGGTGCTCTAACAAATCAATCTCTATGGGTCGAACTAGCTTCTGAGGGAGCATTTGGGTTATGCTTCCCAGCTCAGTATATTGCACCCTATGAGATCCATAGGGAATAACAAAGTGATAAGTATGTAAATGAAGTTTGAAGTGGCAACACGTGAGAAATGAAGTGGTAGGATTTCGGTGGCTAAGAAGCAAGAAAGAAGGCGAAACTCTCTCTCTCTCTCTCTTCATCGCCTTCACAGTTGAGGTTATTAATGCAAGTACAACAATGGTAATAACCTCCATAAATTGGGATATGACCCCCACAACAAAGGTTACATAACCCACTTATTGGTGGAACTGCGCCCCCAATAACATGCTACATCATGCTACGGATCTTCCCTCCCCCCAAAAAAATATGGATAGGTTTGACCCATCTCAATATCACTGGCATCATTGGATTGAAGGGAAAAAGATGGAACATATACAGAAAACACCCCTAGTTCATCGGCAAAACATGGAAACAACCTTATGATACCCTCTGGAAAACTAACATAAACCATCACCATTGTTTCATGGGTAAATCAACTATATTACAATAATTCACTAACCTGAATTAAGGCCATTAGCGGATGATTTCCCTTATTGATCATGATTCCCAGGGCTCGGTCGCAGTGAGGTCGTTATAATTTACCCAGAACTATCAATCACCCATTTTCCATGGGTAATCTAACATAACTAGGGAAAATCACCATTTTTAATGGGAAAAACAACTATAAATGGTCATTTTCAATAGCTTTTTGTACGTTTACCAGGCCGGGTATAACCCACCCAGCCGCCGCCCGCCGCTCCTTGCAGAGCCGGCGCCCATGGCAGGTGTTTGGCCTTGGCTCGGCCGCAAGTGCCGGGCGCGAAGTACCACAGTGCCACCGAGTAGGCCGTGGCCAGGGTGCAAGCGGCACCGATGACCTCCTGGGTGAGAAATCATCGATAGATATGGAGTTCTTTTTTGGGATCAGATGATATAAATAGATGGTAAATATTAGGATAGATATCTGTGAATCATCTAATTTAAGGATCATCATCGATAAATCAATGGATTGGTTCAAGGGAAAATCGGAAAAAAACTAGATGTTCCCATGAATTGAATGGGGCTTTCCTGCAAATGTTTCCTTAAACAAATCCATTGAATAAATGGAAATATGATGGGATCAAATAGGGGATAAATCATGAGATATGAATCCCTTTCCCCCATTCTTTCCCATATTCTTGAACACCCCGAGACACCATGGTGTAGTAGAGAATTTCCACATATATACAGTAAATGGAAACATATATGGGGTGTTGAATATTCGGGGGATGAGACTATTGTTATTGTTATTAGCCTCGGGTAATCAAACATGGCAAGCTGGGAAATACCCGAAATAAACGGAGGTTGACAGCTGGGAAAATCATCGAACTAAATGGAGGAGGTTCTATTAAAATGATAATGATAATGATAGTGATAGCGACAACTGTGAGGAGTATACTATTAAAATCTGTTAGGCTTAGGATGATGGTGATGGTGATGGTGATGGTGATGATGATGATGATGATGATGATGATGATGATGATGATGATGACGAGATGATGACGAGATGATGATGATGATGATGATGATGATGATGATGATGATGACGAGATGATGATGATGATGATGATGATGATGATGATGATGATGATGATGGGGGTTTGGTATGGTTTGGTGACTTTTTGCAGGATTCGGATGATTTGAGGTCAAAAAGGGTGCTGCTTGACCTTTTTGCTCTGTATCGTAGCCAGTGCTTTTTGAAGAAAAAAATACGCTTGAAGTGCATTTTTTGCCAAAAGGGCTATGTGTTTTTTTTTGATGTGAAATGCGGGCCTTGACCAAGAAAAAATATAGAAATTCAGAGCAATATTATATGGGCAGCCCATGAGTACATTGGGTTGGTATTTATTCCATGGATATTCAAACTGGAAAACATAGGCGCTTTACAAGGTTGGGGAAGTTATTCTGAACATTTGAAGAGGTGGAATCATTTGGGCTTGGGGCTACTGGAAATAACACAGTCCATGGGTTTTCCGCGCAGCGATAAGCTGGCATCACCATGTCTCTGCGGCGCCTGCACCCAGAAACAGGAGAAGACCAGCGCGGTCAGACGCCCATAATCCGCCACACTCAAGTGAAACTGTCGGAAAACGCCTGGTGGTTCAGCAGAAGTGGGGTAGAACCCGGGAAGAGACACACAGGCCTTATGCTCAAGTTGGGGGCGACTTAACCCCCTTCAACGGATGCCAAAGGAGGATCGACACTGTTGATACTGTTGATTGAGTTGGAACCCTGTGGAATAACATATGGAATCCCAAATGGAGTGGAACATCAAACATCATTACTGTAACACAAAAAGCATCTCAACACACTGTAATTGATACATTTAAAAAAAAAAAAACATTCTAAAACATGCCTGAAAAGGACCCCCACCTTTCTCCACCCCAGTGCCTGTGATGCCCAACACCGTTACCGAGGACACCTCCGTGGTGGACAGCATCAGTGGCAGGGACACCAGCAGGGCAGCCGAGAGTAGCAGGTAACACAGGCTGTCGAGGACGGGGAGCAGCAGCAGTGATGGCATGGCCAACATCACCTCAGATGGATGGGATGTCTATGGGATGCCATGGGTGGGTGGGGACGTGCCACTCGTGGAATAAATGCATGTTAAATGCTGAGTCCAAGCTTTAAATCCTTTTACAAAAACATGTTCTATCTTTCAGAATCCTGCAATAGAGTTGGAGTTGGATGAAGGGAAAGCATGTGCAGGAAGACCATGAATGCTGCAGGCTTTCTTTAGGCGTTCCCTGACAACCAAGCCAGTTACCCTCCAGTAATTCTTGAACATAGCTTTGAAAAATGGATGATAATGGTCCAGTATGGTCCATATTTACGGATTATTTACCCATATTTATCGCAAATTGTGATTTTCCATGGCACACTGTTACTTATGTATATATATATACAATTGTATATATAATTGTATATATATAATTGTATATATATATAATTGTATATATATATATAACCCATATATGGATGATTATGTGGCATAATTTACTACTGATTTACCCATATTTACCCATATATAACTCTAGGTTCAAAACGCCCTTCACTGGTGGTATCACTGCTTGGTGAAAGCCAAGCCGCTGCACAAGACTCGCGGATGCAATCCGAAGCCACGTCCAAGCGTCGCCGAGCGCAGAGGCAGCCTGCGCCCCGTGACAGATGTTGTGCTCTGGGTTTCTACGGTTTCTGCGGTTTCTACTGTGGTCAAATATGTCCCACCATGTCCCACCACTTTTTCCAATTTGGACAAGTTTCTTCAAAATGGACAACATGGAGACTGGCCCTGGTCAAACAACTGCATGGAAAAACATGAAGAAAATCCCTCTAGTTTTGCCTGACGAGAAAGCAACTAGGAAGGCGAGATGTGGTGAGCATTGGTGAGCACTTTCCACAAAAGGAACGGGCCCCAAGAATGTACACTCACTTGCACCAATCACCTTCAAGTACTGGACTCAAAACAAGGAAATTTGTGATCCGGGGAGCTCCGCCCATTTCCCGCGTTTTTCCGCCCATTTCCTGGGCAGTTCCGCCCATTTCAATTGCACTAAAGAACCAGATAGTTTGCAGATTTCGGAGTTGACTGTTGAATTTTAGCCACGCAGGCAATTCCGGCTAGCAATCCAGATAATCCAGGGTCAATAGGCGGTGGAGAGCGGGGGCTGGCATTCATTCAAGGTTTTCGAGGATTTGCAATGCTGCGCTTGTTTTCTAGCTGACAGGCAATCACAGGTTCCCAGGATGAAAGATAAGATCCATCTTGCTGAGTCAATGAAGGCGAAGGACCACAAAAAAATCCATCAAAACCATTCAACCAGGTTCTGTCAAGATCGTTTGGTTTCCGCCATTGTGTGCAAGTTCAGCACAATTGTCCATTCTGAGCTAGTTGTCAGAAAAAATGCTATATTATAGTGAAATATCCAGTGATGTGTCTGTGTGTGTGCGTGGGTACTGTAATGGGCTTGATGTAGGGTGTAGACACCAGTGAACCATACCTCGGCAAAGTGCAAATACCAAGTGGCTATGTCAATAATAGTTGCGGGAACTAGGCAACCTCTGAGGCCAAAACCCCCATCCGCAAGGCCTATCAGGCAAACAGCAGCCACGAAGAACAGCGCAGATATGCCGGTAGCCACAGCAGCAGGGACTCAGTTGGAAGCGCTCCGGCACACAGATGTAATACGATTCGGTATCACCAACAGCTTGCCATGCATGGAAGATATTGTGATTTTGGACCTTTCTTGGCAAGTCTCCTGGTGATATTTTCCTATCATTTGTGGCCACTGGAGCTCTGAATCATCCCCACTTGGCTGGTTCCAAGTCCCCCTTCAAGACGATCAATCATATCAAGACCTCTTCAAGACGCCTTTCATTGGTTTCAGAAAATACTCCAGACCCCCTCCCAGATCAATGCTCTAGGACGGAATCACCACCAAAGTTGACCCAGGTGCTCCAAGCACCAAGAGCGTGCACGCTCTCCAAGGCCGCAGGGTAGCCTTCAGCTGGTGGGCAATGAATTGTGGGCATTCAACCACCGCCCCCAGTTCGGGGACCCCAACAATCGGAAGAGTTGGTTTTGGTGGATTAATTCACCACCAAGAACCATTTTCATAAGAGAGCCTATTCATAACTTGGGGGGTCAGCTTCGTGGGGTTGGTTGAATCCCCATGGAAAAAAGATGGAGATGGTATGATGCAAAGGCATGTAATTGCAAGAAGTAACCCAAACTGTCTGTATTTTGGGGGGAAACCATCCCTCCACGAGCATGGATTCTTGTCTCAACTGATTGATTGTTGCGGTATATTATAATTTTGGAATGTACAGGTGGTATGCCATAATGTATGCCTTACATTGGCCAATTACATGTTGTGATTACTTCGAAAAATTAGACAAAGTTCCTTTCTTTTCTAGCAGTTCCTAGTCGAAGAAAGTAATCCCGTCTCCTTAAATTAAACAAACCCATTTTATGGCCCCCAATGTGCTGATTTCATCCCCTACATCCATCTACATCCACCATGGTTTCTGGGTGGAGGGGGCAGTAACCCTGAACCAACCATCCATCTGGCCTGCCAGCAGCGCCGGTTTGGAAACCGCCAGAAATCCCAGGCCACCCGCCAGACAGAGGATGACCGTTGTCAGCATGGCTGCGTGGACGAAGAACAGGGCCTCGGTTGGACGGTTGGACACTGCAAAATCAAAGCGGAAACCAAGCATGGCCACAATCCAACAGGAAAACATAGGAAAAATTAGGAAAACCTTCTTTCCAAGCCATCTCTTAGGATTTCGGAGCGTCTACCTTCATGATTCACCTGTTCTTGGCGCATTTTTGGCTCGCACCCCTCAAAAGAGTGGTTTGTCTCAGAAAAAGGGGTATCCATGGGTATCCCAATTCCAAAGGGTTATCATCATTCATTTCCCCATTTAAGCAGCCCAAACACTCCGGGCACACGTCTACCAGGATCTACCATGGTACCCCTCCCGTTGCACCACCAAACTCAATCCCCAGCAGCAAACTGCCGCAAGCACCGCAGATACGCCACGCTCAGCGCCAAGGTCCACAGCGTCGCCAGCAGCAGCAGCCGCGGCATCGACGCCAGGGACAACAACTGCTCCAGGACTACGAGAGCTTGGGCAACAGCTCCTTCGAAGCAAGGAAATCTGCTTAGGTTCTGGGGCTGGGTGAAATACCCAAGAGTTACGGTTTTTTTTCTTTAGGGTGCCCAATTGGCGCCCGAAGGGTATGGCACCCACCAATGCACCATGGTGCGCATGTTCAATACAAAACGATCCCACTTGGGGATGACGACGCCAAGATCAACATGAAAATAACAAGATCGCCATGACGAATGGTGAGAACTGATATCAACCAAGCAATTTGTTTTAATTGACAAGAGGAATGAACCACTTCTGACAGCTCAGAAAATACGCCTGATACCCGTCTCCCTGATGTTGATGATGATCCCCAGGGGATGTGTGAGGCAGGGTGCGAGGGCAAAATGACACAATTGGTCATTTTGGTTGGGCACTGGAATTGTGCAAAAAAAGCATTACCCCCAGAGTGACATAATCCCCGAAAATCACCACTTTTCCAACCCATGGGATGCTAATTCCTCTACGGATAAGCCTATTGGCACCCCCTTCCCGTGTGCCAACATGTCCCAACCTTCCCAAACGACCAAAAACAAAGCATTTCCTTAGATTAATGCGGAGTTTCTGAGACGCAAGATTTCCGTTATCTCTACTAGCAACTCATTTTAAAATAGACTTCAGCTCCGCTGTCCCTATCAACCAACCTCATCTTGGCGGGCCGTCGTTGTCGGCGCCTGATGTTGTCCAACGTCTCCAAATCTCAAAGGGTTGGTCAGCTGCGGGCACGCAGTAGCGCTCCATCCACGGCTTTGTGTCCAGATTCACCTTGCGAAAATGGTGCCAACATACATGGTCGTCCCCATGGAGGATTCCAAGCATATTTTCGTAAATGAACCCCTATGGTGTGAATGGGTGTGAATGGGTGTGACCATCCAAGTGCACCAAATCTTAGACGTCGCAATCCCTGCAATCCCCACGACATCAGTGCGAGTCATTGGTCCAGGGGTCCGGCGTAGTGTTTGGCCTAGCCTTGAGAGGCGCGAGCATTTGCTTCTCAGTTCTCACCAGCAACCTGCGGCCACCTGGCTTGAGCAGTTTGTATCTATGTTTTTTGGGGTGAAATCTGGGACTACCCGGCTACACCAAACAAGGTGGTGCCCGCTGCCCCTGTAGTGAGCTAAGTTGGTTTACACCATTTTATAACTAGAGGACTAGTTATGGGCAAAACATGTGGGTCACCTCTGGGGACTTTCATGGACTTTCCACACTAGTTCACCAGGTGAAACCAACAAACATAACTCGTACCCCAAGATATCCCCATAGGTCTGTTTTTTTAAAAAGATGATGATTTAAAAAAAAACAAAAAATCACCCTCAGTTCACCCAGATCTAAAAGCCCCAACTGCCATATACCGCCTTCCCGCCTTCCCGCAGTTCTTCCTCTGTCACCTCCAGCCCTTCCGGGCAGAAGACGCTGGTGCCACGCTGTGGACATTGCTCCACGCAGATGGGCGAGGACCAGTTGAGGACGAGGCCGTGCTCCGTCCTGCACGTGGACGATCGTGGACGTGGGGCGGGGGGTGTCTAGGTGGATGGTACTCTGTCACCAAGCGATGTTGAGGAAAAAAGTGGGGAATTGTTTTTTTTAATATGATGTTTCCTGGTTTTTGAGGAAAACAACTTGATAAATTGATTTGTCTAACTTCTGACCGCAGCCAAAAACATGATGATCAGTTGAGGATTCATAATCAGTCGCAGTTTGTCGCGTTCGCAGCCGTTTGTCAGGCAGCCCTAGATCATGGATTCTCATGAATTTTGGCACGCAGAGTGCAAACGTGAGACTCCACATTGACTCATGTGTTGAGTTGGAATCAGTTGATATATCATGATCACCAGTGACCTTCGCCATACCCAGTGAAAACTTGCTCTAAAACCCCCATTAAAAGAAGTCCAACCGTGGCTCCCTTCCCCAGCCTGGCACTGCACCAATGCAGCAGTGTGAGATCTGCGGTGCCTCAGTTGAGGCTGAGGTCTATGGCTGCCTTTCACTAAGGTTGGGTTCCAGGGGATGATCCCAAGTTTCAGAGGCATTCGTTGAACCCCTGACCTGGATGAGCAGGGCCCAAAGATCCTGTGGCCTAGTGGTTGGTCCTGGAAGGTCAAGTTTCCCATGTTATATGGATAAAACTATAGGTGAACAAACAACAATTATTATAATTGAACAGATAATTAGATATATAATCATCAGATAATAATAACTCTATAGATTATTAGATAAATGTGAACCAACATGGGCCACTTTCTACCTTTATCCCAGCTTGCTTCCCAGGCACCGTCGCTCCAGCCGCAGATTCGGCTGCGGTGATCGATGCCCCTGGAGAGCTTCTGAAGATCAGCTCGTTGCACGGCAGAAAAACCTGCCGTGAAGGGGACACCGGTGGCGAGGCAACGGCTGCGCCCAAAATCCGAGGTTCAGAAAAGTCGTGTTCCCCATTAAAGATATCAAAGTGGCCAGAAATATCAGAAATTGGAGTATCTGAGTATCCTATTCTTTCACCAGTTGGCTTACCGCACTTACCCAAATCTCCTCATCTTGGTAGCCTTGGTAGGTTAAATCAAATAGTTTGACTGGATTTGATTGCTGAATATTCTATATGTGGTTTCATCAACCTAAGGTCTGGCCGATTGAATCCTTACTTCTTGTGTTTTTTTTCTGCACCTTGAGCTGAGCTATAGCCAAACAAAAGCCTAGTATATAAGTATATATATATATAACCTACCCCAGCTATGTTGACCCAGTAAAAATGATGGTTCACCATAGGTCCAAGTGTTTGATGATGCAAGCACCGTTATTGTGGTAAATCATTGTGAATTTCATCTTACTTTATAGCCAAATATCCTCAACATTCCTCAAGCCAATCCAAGCTTTACCCAGAAAACGTGCTGGTTTGCTCTGCCGGGCGACAGCTCTGCCCTGTCAGCAAGAGAAAGGTGGCAAAGGTCAAACACCATCCTGGGATCACTAGCAGCTCACTGGGGCCCTTTTGAAAGTTTGTCCAGGTTCTATGTTGGATTTCAGGTGGAAGATAAGATCTTCCTAAGGATGCAACTTCGAGGGGGATCAGATCTGCAAGCAAAGAGTAAAATCCATAAGTCCTTTTCATCCGCGGCGATCATTCAGGAGTGCCTGTACAAACATTCGTGACCGCTGGCCGTGCTGGGACGCATAACGGTTGTTGCCGACTGAAGCGGTTGTTCGCTTCCCAAATGATGGCACCTTTCGCCCAGCTGATGTTGCCCTGCGGCACGAAAATGATCTGTTGACTTTTCTTGTCAAAACCTAGGCCGTGATGAAGCAGCACTACCACATATGCGGCAGAAAAACAGAGAGTTTGCAAGGCTTGTTCGCCCAACTGCCAGCGTTCGTGCAGGAGGGCCCAATCCATTTTGCACACATACCTGGCTACTGGTCGGCTCATCATGAAATCCTCCCCGGTTTTCACTTTTACGTCCCCAAAATCATTGAACCAGTAGTAAATAGAACAAGACATAACAAGACCCATTTTGGACGTTGTCCCATAGTCACAAATGATACAAATGTTTGTTTGATATGTTCACCACTTTTACCTACCAAATACCCTCTGGTAAACTAACATAGCTATTGAAAATGACCATTTATAGTGGATTTTCCCATTAAACATGGTGATTTTCCATAGTTATGTTAGTTTACCAGAGGGTAAGCTTCTTGCCAGGTGGAACATGGTTCTGCTCCCCCACCTCGCCGCATTCTCAATATCCTCCAGCGCCGTAGTCTCTGCCGGCAAGCCCAGCACATCCACCACCCAACTGAAGGCGGAAAATGCCACGAAACGTCGGGCGCCCAAAGTTGGTTGGTATCGGCCATTGAAGGTGCACGCGGGCAAGTAACAGGGTGCATTCTTATCAAAGAGTTCCGTGAGCTTCTCCACGCAATCATCCTGAAAAAGGCAGGCACCCGGGCTGTCATTGAAAGATGATCATCCCCTGGCAAATTTTGAAATCCCAGGGATGAAAGAGAATGTGGATTGGCACAAGAATACCAAGAATACAGGGTCCCAACATATATCGAGGAATTATCAAGGAAAAACACAGACATGATCTACTTCAGTAGGGGACGACAATGATAGCTTATGATTTTCGGCTGGAATCCCCCCATTTTTGAACAAACCAATGCACTGATGAAACTCAACATTGAACGTGTCAACAAAAAAAAACACTGCACATATGTTGCTGTTTTACTCCCTGAAACGGCCGCACACATTCAAGTACATTAAAAAAATACGTCCAAACTCTACTCTTGAAAAATTGAGAAAAAAGGAGATAAACACGAAAGCACTGGCCACAAAAAAACAAATGGTCTCTCAAAGAAAGAAAGCACAACTAATACCAATCACCGCACAGACAAAAAATAACTAAAACCAATGGCTTTTGGAAAAAAGTAAAAGGCAAAAATAATTATGAAAGCCCCAACCACTGAAACCCTAAACTCATCAAAAAAGGAACGCTTTAAACCATTTAACGCCACCGGCCTTTAAGAGGATTCCCAGTCAAACAACCCCGCTCCTATCATAATAACCTATCGGCTCCCGAGATGGATGCATTCACTAATTCGACACTCTACCAGGGATTCTGGACAGGGTTAAGTCATTATATTACTAGGAAGGGACCAGTGGTGAATTGACAAACGGTCAAACAATTTTGGGGAAGCAAATAACACCCAGTGAAAACCAGAAACTTGATGAGCCGCATGCAATTGCAAAGAAAACCAATGAACAACAAAACAAAACAAAACACCGCAAAGACCGCTAAGAAATCCCAGAGGGTATTCAGAGCAAGGTTTGAAACCAGCTGGCATCATTCCGAGAAAAAAACGTGTCAAACACCAATGGTTAAAAGGATACATGCGACAAATATTCTTTCAACATTCAAACCTTACTATTATACAATATCAATACTATATAACACAAGAATAACAATAATATCAACATACATAAACCTTAAAACCAAAACAAGAATAATCCACCCCTTATATCACCTATTTATGGTGATTTGGGGGATGGTTTATTATTGTTTTACCCAAATTAAACTATATAAAAATCATCCTTAAAGTCATCCAAGCATCGTATTGTCCCTTGCCATGCCACGTGGCGCTCAGTGGCGGAAAGGCATTGGCCCCAGCCGCTGCGGCATCCGCCTGCGCGTCGGCATCGCCGATGAGGAGTTCCGTGGAGTTGCTGCCACGCGGAAGACACGGATGTTCCAAGACTTCCTGCAGGATGCCCCCAGTGGCCCCAGTGATGTTGGCCTATGACCATAGATAAAACCCCATAGTATAACTGAACTATGGTTTATGGTTGATAAACCCCACGAATACTATAGTTGTATCAGTTATATATATATATATATATCTACCATAAACCATAGTTAAGTCACAACATGTCACAACCATAAGGCAACTTAGCTATTTTGGAGGTTTATGACTATAATAAGAATAGTGTATGATACTTATTATATTTGGATGGGCTTATAAGCCAACAAAAAAATCTGGAAAACACCATCCTGAGGGCATTGTTTACCATAAACATCCGTAAATCATAGTTCAGTCACAACCATAAGGCAACTGAACGTTATTTTTTGAAGGTGAAGACCGGTGAAGATGGTACTACAAGATCTTGAGAAAAGGTGGGATCATCATGGATGATCCAAGTTGAACGAACAAATTGGGACGACATTAATGGGATGTATATAGTTTTTAATGAGACTATATGCTATGGCTATAGATGGGAATGTTTATATACGGCAATAAGTGTATGTATATATATATATATTTGAAAAAACTAAAAACACATTATATATATATATATTATAATGTATATAGTATATATATATATACATGTATATATTAAGGAATGCAATCATATGGTAAAATGCCTTGAACAGAATTGAACATACCTCTTGGAGCATATCCCAAGTTCCTCACCCCAAGTTTGCTCTGGAAATTGTTACCATCTTTAAGTGGCAACGGGGTATGCAATGGGGGTGTGTTGGAAGATATGATGGGTACTATTCATGGTATATTTAAGGTATGTTTATGTGGTAGTATATGGTGTGGTTACCATGAAAATCAGTTGAAGCTATATCAACAATATTCATCAGCATTCTATATATACAGTAATTAATGATTGAGAAGAAGTATGTTTTTTTCCTTTACTTTTTGATGAGTGTACAGTCACCAGGATACCTCCTAAATTGGGATGAAAAAAAAAGCAACCTACGATGTAGCTGGTATCCTGGTATCCTTTGATTGACATGACTGATATTCATGTTGTCATGGTACAACTATAGTACATTAATATTAGTATTAATAGATATCTGATATATTAGTACCAACAATGGTTAGTACGATGATATTGACCATTGTTAGAATCAGATTTTTTGTACAACGCTACAACAACGGGTGGCACTGCGGGTCCAGACTTGGCAAGCCAAGCCACTGGGATATCACGTTAAGCCAATGGTTAATTCTATGCTACCACGGGCGTTAAGTAACATTGCAACGAAGCAGGATTTTGTGTTGGGTAATGTTGGGTATACCCTCCCAAGAATTTCCTTCTGAAGCTCAAGGCCGGTGTCAACCGACCATAGATCCCCAAATTCAATGGCGTGTGGTGGATATTCCCCTGCAAATCAAAGACAAACCAATACCATAAGCACAAAACATTAAAATTGGTCTTGCAATGTCTTGCAAATAGTGCGTAGTCCCCATTCGTTCTCCTCCACATTTGCAGATGAAATTCCCAATTTTTCCCATAGGAAACTCCATTTTCCAGATTGAATTTTCCATATTTTCCCATAGGAAACCCCATATTTTCCCATAGTTCCCATATAAATCTCTATTTTCCATATTTTCCCATATTTTCCCATAGGAAACCCCATATTTTCCCATATCAATCTCTATTTTTCATCAGTGATTCCCCCCAGGACTCGACAATTCCGTCGGAGTTTCCGTCGTCTCTGCCACCAGCGCTTTGCCAATCAGCTGTCGTTGCAGTAGACGCTGGGCCTCCCGCAAGCCGAATTGTAGGTAGCTGGCCTTGGCTACGAAAATGACCCTCCGGTAGAAAATGGCCATAGAAATCGTTGATTTAGCCATTTAGCCATTCAAAATGGTAATGCTCATTGATTTTCCATAGTTATGTTAGTTTACCAGAGAATAATGGGAATCAAACATGGTATATATATATATATAATGGAGGGTAATGGGGGTGTCAATGTGGAGATGTCAATGGTAACTATGGTGATTGTTGAATATTGTGTATATACATATAATTATATATATATGGGTAAATTAAAATATTTCACCAACCTGAATTAAGGCCATTTGGGGATGATTTCCAATACTAACCATTATTCCAGTGAGGTCGCAGTGAGGTCGTTATAATTTACCCAGATATATATACATGGTCCCATAGAAAATCCCCTAACAATGGAGGTGTCAAAGCATCGACTATGATGAAATGGAGGAATCTACATTGCCATGCTTGACTACCAGAAGGCAAGATGTTTCCAACAGAAATGGTGATGATACCACCAACAAGAAGGATTTTACCAGGTTACCACCAAACATTTTGATTGAACTGATTTGAACCTACACTAATTGAACCAAGTTGGAATTAGTGACTATCTGGTACCTATGGAGTGTACAAGGCTCTAGATTCCGCTAACTAAAGCACAAAGGGTCCAAGAAATCTATCTGAAACTGATGCCAAGCAAGTGGTCCAAAAATCCGAATCACAAGCTCCGCAGTAACATTAGTAATAAGTTGGTTTATAATCAATCCCATCTAGGTATAGATAATCATCGATATATCCAGCCTAAACCTAACAGTTAGTCTAGCATAAACCAATCTATACCTATTTAGGGTGCCCCTTCCAAATCTTCGAGGGATTGAGTAGAAAAAACTGAGACCAGCTGCCGAATACAAATTGCTCTGCCGGCCCTGCAGGAACAGCGGGAAGGAGTGCTGCAACACACTCCGATCTGCTTCAGGGACGAAGGTGATCTGCATGGATGCCCCACCCAAGTCCAGAACCCCAACGGAATCCGTGCCGGGATCCGTTAAGCTTCCCATTTCCTTAAAAAATCTGCCATGGAAATGGGCCATATGGAGCCATGGTACCGTAAAGAAAAGTCCCAACTTTTCCCCAAATGGTGAATGAACCAATTTAATGGGAAAATAATGGAACATAAAGACATAAAGTAAATTCACAAAAAATACTGTATCTTCAGAAAATCCCAAGTTTCTGAGTTGACGGCCAGCCAGCCATAAGCTCCCTCTTCTTCCCCACTCAGAATTCGAACAAAGTCTGGTTCCAGATGGAAATGGCTCTCGCCCAGGATATGTCTGACAGTCATTAACCTCGTTTCTGGTGTGAAGCCCACCATCCCCAGGGAATCGGGAGATCAACATTCCTTGAAATTAATAAGACATACCTCCAGAGAAATCTAACATAGCTAGGGAAAATGGTCCGTTTATAGATGATATTATAATATTATATATTAAAAAGTGCTGGGTTTCCAAAAATTATATGGAGGTGTCCTAAACTGGGGCCTAAATAATCAATTTTCATAATTTTCATAGGGTTATAAATTATATAAATTATTAAACTATATCCATTTTGGAGATCCCCCATTTATGGAAACCCCCGTGTTTTTCTGTACACTGACTCCCCCAGGCAACACGTTTTCTCGGTGTTCCGGACGCAAGCGTCGGAAGCCCGCAGTGGCCAGGAGGTACACGGGGAAGCGGTGCCAGTCCTCCAGGGACTCTGCCATAAAGGATACCACTTCACCATTTCACCATGGTTAATAGTGGTTAATAATGGTTTTGAGACAATGGTTAATATAGTGGTTAATATAGTCAGTGGTTAATATAGTGGTTAATATAGTGCGGTTCATAGTGGTTAATATGGTAAATGATTAGTGGTGCCAATAATGATTAATGGATTTGCCCTCTGGTAAACTAACAATTTGCGAACTGGAAAATCACCATCTTTCATAGGTATATATATCAACGAACTAAATGTGCCATTTTCAATAGCTATGTTAAATTACCAGAGGGTAGACTCAGATAGATCAAACATGATCAAACCATATTCGGCAAATGCCTGTCCTCCTTCCTATCCTTCAAGATGTCTTCTGCAAAGTTCAGCAGCTCTGTCAGAGTGTCGTTTAACTTGGCTGATGCTGATGACAGTCCACCTGGGGATGGGTCAAAACCCTGGTACCTAGTGAACCCCAAGTCATAGCTGGGATTTATGGATGTTCATCCCACTAAAAATGTATCTATAGGTATTGACCCATAGCCACCTTTCACTTGATAAGAGGCCACAACAGTTGGTGTCACCATCGAGGGCAGTGCATCGTGTTGACACGGCCCAGGTGACCATGCGAAAATCCACACGCGCGAGCCGGTGGAGCCCGCATCGATGATCATCCCTCGATATCGCCTGGGTCAAGGGAACAGAGTTCAACACAAACCATGGCTATTTAGTACCCATAGGATCCATGGTGCTGCTATATATGGTATCATTTACCATATTTTACCATCAATATACCCCAGTCATGTTAGCATATATACCATACATGGATCCTATGGGGTATGATGTAGTAACCCTAGAGTGAAGACTGGAAAGTGAATCATCACGATTTTAATGGGGATTACTTGTCTATCTTGTTGGTGATGACTCTATATATATATATATAATTTAATTATTGCGGACGCCCTAAGAAGAAAAACATGCTTACTAAACTGGTTAGTATCTCCTGTCATTTCTGCTTCAAGTCCACACCTACCCATCCAATATCATCCAATGATTCCCTCAGTAAAACATGGGGTCATCCATTGCTGGTCAGGCTGTGGTTTTTTTCACCTGTTACAACATGTTGTAACCTCTTTCTATGTGGTAGAAGGATAGAGTGGAGGCTCCCCTTTTTGTATGAAATGATAGTTTCATGTTTTATCACGTTCCCCAAACTCTTGATGGCACTTGTTACTAGTTTTCCACCATGTAAAAGCCTCTGCTTGATGGTAAAATCTCCATTCTTGATGCCTAAATATGGCTAAATCCCAACTTTCACCCACTTAACCTCTCTTTATTCAGTAGGATTTTGAACGTCTTGATGGCTAAAGTATGGCCAAATCATGCTAAAATCCCAACTTTTGATGGTTAGCCCCTCATCCACCCAGCAGCTGCTCGCTCTGCTCCGGCTCCGGCTCCAGCTCCAGCTCCGGAGTCAGAGAAGGATCCGACGTCGCATGGAGCCACAGATGGCAAAGGCAGAGGCGGGCGAAGCTCCGCATGGCAAAGGGGGCGAAAATGGTGGGAAAATGGAGATGAAAATATGAAAATGATGTGAGTTGTTCAGATACAAACTTTGTTGAGGTTGACTTTAAGGAGCCAATAAAAACAAGCGGATGCATAGTGGGGATACTGGTGCGAGGTTCTTAACATGGGTTGACTGCAACAGAACGTTGCGATGCAAGTATACAAGGGGAATGTCATGAAGAAAAAAGGAGTACCAAAAACCAGCCTACAAATAGGGTTAACGACTCACTTCCAACACCAAAAATCAACTCACTTCCAACACCATCTCACTCCCAACACCAAGAACTCACTCCCAACACCAAAAATCAACTCACTTCCAACACAAAAAGCACTTTTCGGCGTCGAGGGCGAGTCGATTTTCCAGTTTCCCCATTGGTACTGAGGCGTCACTTCTGAAACCCAATCATATACAAACATTACAGGGAAAATGATCAACACTGATCATTACTTAGATCATTACTTGACTTAGATCATTACTTGACTCAGCCATTTGGGGTTTGGTTGGGGGGGAGGGATCATTCAACTTAGATCATTACTTGACTCACCCATTTAGGGTTTGGTTGGGGGGGAGGGATCATTCTACTTACATCATTACTTGACTCAGCCATTTAGGGTTTGGTTGGGGGGGAGGGATCATTCTTACATTACTTGACTCAGCCATTTAGGGTTTGGTTGGGGGGAGGGATCATTCATTCATCATTACTTGACTCAGCCATTTAGGGTTTGGTTGGGGGGGAGGGATCATTCAACTTAGATCATTACTTGACTCAGCCATTTAGGGTTTGGTTGGGGGGGAGGGATCATTGAACTTAGATCATTACTTGACTCAGCCATTTAGGGTTTGGTTGGGGTGGAGGGATCATTGAACTTAGATCATCACTTGACTCAGGCATTTAGGGTTTGGTTGGGGGGGATGGATCACTGAACTTAGATCATTACTTGACTCAGCCATTTAGGGTTTGGTTGGGGGGGAGGGAACATTGAACTTAGATCATTACTTGACTCAGCCATTTAGGGTTTGGCTGGGGGGAGGGATCATTCTACTCATGTCATTACTTCACTCAGCCATTTAGGGTTTGTTTGGGGGGAGGGGTTTGGTTGCTGCTGCTGCCGCCGCTGCTACTGCTGCTGCTGCTGCTGCTGTTGCTGTTGCTGTTGCTGTTGGTGTTGTTGTTGTTGTTGTTGTTGTTGGTGTTGTTGTTGTTGTTGTTGTTGTTGTGGTTGTGGTTGTCGTTGTCGTCGTCGTTGTGGTTGTTGTTGTTGTTGTTGTTGTTGTTGGTGGTGGTGGTGTTGTTGTTGTTGTTGTTGTTGTTGTTGGTGTATTTGTTGTTGTTGCTGTTGTTGCTGTTGTTGTTGTTGTCGTTGTTGTTGTCGTTGTTGTTGTTGTTGTTGTTGCTGATGTTCATTTTGGCGCTGATGTTGATGTGAATGTTGATGATCTTGTTGTGGTTGTTAGTGTTTTTGTGTTGTCGATGTTGAGAATGCGGTTGATTTTGTTCTTGTTGTTGATGTTGTGCATGTTGTCGATGTAAGTACAGAGGCGTCGGGAGCGAGTCGGTTTTCGGCGCTGAAAGCGAGTTGATTTTCGGCGTCGGGAGCGAGTGTCCGACCTACAAATAGCACTGGAATATGCCCGCCTCTAAACTCTAAACTTGAAGAACACCACAATTCTTGTTCTGTTGCGTTTCGAAAATGGCAACTCATCATTCTGCAACATTCTCCGTGGCTGGACCTGGATTTTTGGGCGCTGACCACAAGGCTGTGATATGCTGTGATGATGTCTGCTGTCTCTTGTTTTACGACCTAACGTCTGACTTCAAGCCAAGGGTAGCAGCCTAGCATGAGGTCACATCTCTGGCAGGTTCGAGAAAGACTATGCAAGTTTCAAAATTCTTCACCCAGCTGCATTTGGGTCTCTTTGGCCTTCAGGGTGGACATAAAAGCCAGAAATCAGTCCCAGAGCCCCAGGCTCAGCAAATTAGGATAGCATGTTTTCACCACGCTCTCTTGGGAAAGTTGATTGAACCATTAAAATTAAACATACCCCCAAAATCCCCCTAACGTCAGGGTCAAACCAGCAAACCACCTGCAGGGGCCCGAAATGTCGAGATACCGGTGGGTTTCCAGTTTCCCAACATCACCCCATAACAACATGGGAAAACCATGGTTTCCTGTAGATGTTCCGACATTGAACTAGATATAGAACCTGGAATTCATATGAATTCATCGGGTTGCCATGCTTCTGCTGAACATGACCAATGTTAGGGGTATGGTGGGCTTATCCTTGAAGCCAGCGCACATGGACTGCAAAATAAGGGGCATGGGTGGATGCTCTCTTTTTTGACCAGTTCCCAGCATCAGGGTTCATCCTCCCAAGTGGTGGTTTGCTCCTTACCAATATAAACGAGATAAAGTAAACATGACAGCATGACCCCTTTCGAACCATGAACGACCGTGAATTGGAAAGTGCTGGCTATAAAATAAAATAGGATAGATCGTCTCAAACTGAACGACTCGTTTCCAAAACCATTGGTTTGATGGCAATTTATTGGCAAAACCCACAGTTTTGGGAAAAATCTTCAACAATAAAAACATGTCCAACCTGGATTTTGATGGTCTGGGAAACTTGACGCCATCATGTGTTTTCACTTTCCCGTAAGTATGTGTCCCTTATAGAAATAGGCACAGAGCTGAGCTGGCTCCAAAAAAATCGACCCATTGAAATCCAGCATCTATCTGTCCAAAAAAACAGCAAGCAATGCAATCAGTAGTATAATATATTTGGACAGTCGGCAGTCGGATTATATAGATATAAATTCAAATGTAAATCCAAATATAAATCCAAGTATAAATCAGTAGTATAGTATTGTAGTTTCTATTTGGATTTCGCGCCTTGGTCAGTGCATCCCATCTGGAAAAAGGAATGAAACCGGTGACGGCCGCAGGATGATCTCCCAAAGTCCCAGTCAGTCCCCAGATCTCCCAATGTATGGGACATGAATGGCAATGCAAAAAGTATACTGCATATGATTATATTATTTATATATATATATATATATATGTGTACTGTATAGAAGTCCTAAACTTAAACCTGGTCCAAAAAAAAATATCATAAATCCAGCATGCCCTTCGGAAATCAATCATGTCAATTGAAAATCCCCATCAAAAATGCTGGTTAGCTGGGAAAATCCATGATGGAAATCCGTTATTGTTAAAGTTAACCCTTATTAACTCTCTCTCTCTCTCTCTCCTAATTTTGATTGCCATTACAGTACCCCGTTATTATTAAATATATTGTTAACCACTATAAACCACTACTAAAATCTCTATAGGTTCAACTCCATCAATAACCATTATCACTAATCTCTTTAAACATGATGAACCACTCTTAACCACCATTTTTCATGGGCATTTCCCACCAACTCCAACCTTAAAACCGAGCATCCCATGTCGCTGCAGCACTTCCTCCGCGCCACGCCATCGGTGCGCTGGCCACCAGCCGCCCTGGCCTTGGCCGCCCGTGGCGAGGCGCAGGAGGGGGAGCGGCTGGGCGGTGTGGCATCGCGACGCCTGGCCGGGTTTGGAGGGGGTAACACCCTGAAACCATGGCCCATTTAGCCTAGAAATATATAATTATAGAATTTTTAATAGGTATAGATAGAAATATATAATTATAGATTTTTTTACCCTCTGGTAAACTGACATGACTATATAATAGAAAATCACCATTTTTGATAGGTAAACCATCTATAAATGGGCCATTTTCCATAGCTCACTGTAGTTAACCAGAGGGTATCTGATTTATTGGTGATGATGTGTTTTTGGAGATGGTGATTTTCCACGGCTATGTTAAATATTACCAAAGGGTAACTTGGAAGGTTTTTTTTGGACTTCATGAGCTGAGCATGTGTCAAATAGATATGAAAATGCATGAACATCATGTATTTTGTTGTATGTTGATGTGTTGCGTTTGGTTTTAAAACCTGTTTGGCAGTTAAACTCTAACCTTTTTTGGTTGCTTTGGTGGAACCAGGAATTTTGGTGGGGGTTTCAAGGTAAGGTTGGTTGGAGTCACACATGAATAACATGGATATCTGTATATCACGCAAGTTTGTTTCAGAGAAAGACGAGAAAGCCTGCAAAAACATCTGGACATCAGCAATCGATTGGGGGTTCAAACTAGTGAATGACGCTGGGAGGAGGTAAGGCAGGTTCTTCATGCTGCCCTTCGACGAGTTTCTATACGGATAAATATATAGTATAAATAAATACATATAAATATATAGTTAAATTATAAATAATATTAAATATAATTATATTATATATATTATTACATATATAATATACACAAATCTGTGTGTGTGATTATATGTGTATGTGATTGTGTGTGTATGGCAAGGTGCTCTACCTCCCCCACATCGTTAGGGTCTGTGTGACCCCTGCGCCCACATTTTTGTCAAACGTTGAGCTCGTTGCAAGATGGTGATGCCATCCCTCACGGGCAACATGGTCACATGCCAGCGGCCACTCTGCAAGACGTGCTCGTTGAACTGGACCACAGCTGCGGTGGACGTGTCATGTCGATGGCTGGGTCTCAGTACCCTGGAGTACCAAAGGGTGTTGTCCACCACGATCAACCTGAGTGTCAGTAGAGGCTGCCCAAGTTAGCTGAGACCCGAATGCTGGAGACCCCGATGCATACTAAATAAACGCGGAAGAAAGAACACATAATTCCTGGATGTTCAAGAGGCAAGTCACCTATGAATTGTACATCAAACTAAGCATTTGGTTCTGATCGACGTCATCACTTTCCTGTACAAACTCTGACCCAAAGCAACGACTTCACAACACTTTCACTGCACAATTAAACACCTACCATAAAGAACCCACCAAAAAATGGTGTTGAAAATCTGGATTTCCCCTTCAAAACCCAACTTCTTTTTGGGGGTTCAAATATGGTTTGCTGACCAGGCGGCCCATCATCCGCCAACAGGGGCCTGGACCTCTGAGCCCCAAAGAGTTCCTCCACGTATGCCACCTGATTCTCCTGAATAGCCATGCCCCGTGTTTTTCATCATGGTAGCCATGGGTTTCCTGCAACATGTCCCCCAGAACTTCCCGAAAAACGGCCAAAACTCATCCAAATCCCACCAAAACCAACCCCAACAATCCATAAAACTCCAAACTAAACAGATCAATTATGTTTGTCAAGGCCATATTCTGACCCAAAGGCGTCCAACTCAGTCCTTATCCGCATCGATGAAGCACAGGTCAAACGGCTGCTCCCCGGCCTCCACCGCCTCCGACAGTTCCCGCAAGCCCTGCAGCGCGGCTTGCCGGCGCAGCTGGATGCGGGCGCCAGCGGCGCCGCCGGCGGAGAGCATCTGGTGACACAGCGCTTCGGCTTGCCTCGGAGGGCCCAAGGGCTGTGTGAAAAGTGACCCCCCTGGGCTGTTTCATTTGGGCTACCACCGGGGGCTGATCCGGGAGATATCAATGGTCATCATATGTGGGGGTCAAACTTTGAAAACTTGAGATTCTGACAAAATGGCAACACACACACACAACGTCTGGATGTGTTTGGAAGATTGTGATTTGGATGTCTTCTGCGCCCTGATGAATCGTACAAAAACTTCACAGACTTCAATCCCACCACAGCACGTCCAAAGATTGAGGAACTATCGAACCCCAAATCCACCAAACCGGCCTGCGACAGACGAAGAAAAGCGCCTATGTACCACAACCTTCCCAACTTTTTTCCAACTCAACTCGCCAAGTCACGCTTCATCCGAAAAATCATCCAGGCACACCACCTCCATCCCCTCCTTGAGAATCTCCGCCATGCCCAGGGCCGTGAAGCCCGTGTAGGTGCCAATCTCCAAGATCCGCCTGGCCCCTGAGGCCCGGATCAAGGTCTGTAGCAATTGCACTGTCAGGGGGCTGCTGAGCATCTGCGGCAAACGCAGCTGACGCTGCGTTTCCTGCGCCACCGTCTGAAGCAGCGGAGAGAGTGGAGATGAATGGGACACGCCTCAGGGGCGGATGGAAATCCACCAATTTCTGATTCCGGTTCATAGGGGAAAAGTTGTGGTGTTTAAACGATGGAAACTCATTGGTGCAGTTTCACATGGTTTCCCCAACCCCAAAAAACAGGTGGCGTTTCAAACCATGCAGGGCTCATGGGGCTTCACCATACCACCTTGAAGCGCCATGCCACCAGGATGCAGTAATCATGTCGCAAGGTGGCTAAGGCTGTGCCCTCATAGGCGTCAGGAATCACCTGGCTTTGCTCATCAAGGACCAGTGGTCACCCTTGAGTAGAGTCTTCAAAAATTACATATTTTTTCGCCTAACTTGATGGCGCTTGACATATGCATCTTTTCGGGATACCCAGGCATTTGGGTCAAACTCTGACTTAAGATATCTTAAGATTCTTAAGATTATATATCTTCAAGCAATGCTGGAAGCTTCCATCCCATGGCTGCCAAGGTGCTCCCTTCACCACCTCTGCATCCTTCGCAGCATCGATGGAGCTGTACCCCTTGCGTCCGCGGCGCACCCGCGCCGTGGCCCGCGCCCAGAGCCACTGGAGGCTCAAGGTGGTGGCGACCGCGGCGCCAGCCACTGCCAGGCTGCCCATAAGGGAGCTCGGCGGCATGGCAGGGATACCAAGGGGATACCAAGGGATCCACAAAGCATCAAGGGATCCAAAGGGGAATCCCCATCCAAGATCATCCAACTGGATAGTGATGCAGCTGATCCAAGTGGATGATACTGCATGACGATGATTGATGGGGTCCTCAAGGACTGCGAGATGCAAATGCGTCATTTTCTACCTAGGATTGGAATGGGTATGAGGAAAATCGGGATCTGGGGGGTCAAATCAAACTGACATGATGACTTTAGATGACTTTAGGACTAGTTGTGGGGGGAACGCTGAAGATCTTACCATTCTGTCTGGCAAGTCCGTTTCGATGCTGAGCCTGAAGACCAACTGGAAATCACATGAAATGCAGGAGATATCGCGGACACACCAAACCGCTTGGAGTACTGGGTTTGTTCCCCACTTATTTGGTTGTTGGCAGCCACAGGTATGTATCTTACCTGACCTATTTTTCAATTGTTGATACATGTCAAAAAGGGTCATAGCAGCAGCATCAATCATGCTGAATCAATCCTGCAAATGCTGTTGTCATGGCTAGTCCATCCCAGTCCTAGATACCTACCCCAAAGTATGTTTTTTTTTTTGCTTGCCGGTCCTTGGTCATTTTTTTCAGTATGGCTAACACTTGGCATCACTTGGCCCACTAAGCTTTCCGAAAAAAAAAATGAACCCCCAGTTGCATGAGTCCGTCGGAGAACAGGGCCCACAACCCGAACCCCCACCATGATTGAAAAAAACATCTCCATTGTGAGTACTGTGGGATATCCTGGTACCATCCATTTTTGGGCAAACCCATGTGGCTAATTCACATCCCATTATGCACTAATCCCATCCCATCCCCCAAATAGCAAATACCATATGGGTCTCAAAAATGCATCCATTACTGTACGAATTCAAGGTTTATAGGGGGTGCAATCTGGTAGTTTTTCATGTAGCTATTGATAGCAGCTATCATGGCCCGTTGATAGATGATTTGCCTGTAACAAATGAAGATGTTCCATTGATTTTCCATCGCTATGTTAGTTTACCAGGTTACCAGGAGGTACTTCATTTATATATAATATATATATATATATGTGTGTGTGTGTGTGTTCCATGATTTTCCATATATTTCCATAGCTAGATCCTCCAAGCCCTTTGGCACTTTGCCAAGCCTTGGCATGGAGCCGGTTCGTGTCAGCAAGCCACGTGGATTTTGATATCTTTCATACACTTTTAGGTGCCGGCAGCCATGTGTGTAGCCTATAATTGCGTTACATGCATATTAAATATACATAGATATAAATTATACATATATATATATATACACATGCCTCCAGTTTGCATGACATATCACTGTATTCAAGCAAATGCATAAAGAAACATATTAGGAAATGGCATGCACTACATAGTGGCTATATATTATATATTCGTCAACAAAACGTTGAGGTAAATCTCTTAATTAATAATCTTCATGGGATGTCAGTCTGCAGCCTGTATTGACCATGAACACGGGCTGCTTCATAGCTAGCCCTACATGTTTGAATCATGATCCGAGATGCAGCTGCAGCCTAGACTCAGCAGGTAGCAAAGGTGCCATGAACAAACTGCGATATTCCATGCCGTTGGCTTAGCGGCTAACCCCAGATTCTCCTAAATTTGTGGATTTCTAGGAGAGCTGCTGACTTTTCAGGCCTTAAGTAACCCAATCGAATGTCCAAGAACAAATCCGGTGATGGACATGTTCACTGTCCACTGTTGCTTCCCGTTCTTTCATTGTCTTTCACCAGGTCATTTCGATCTCTCAGTGCAGCAGCCAGGCGTTTTTTGAGGCTGGGCTGGTGTGCTAGGCTGGAAAAAATTGTCCATTCAGCAGGAGGGGTTTCTCCAAGGACTTTCTTGGGGAACATGCAGGTTGATCATTCAGCTATCGCTTAACCGGTGAAGCGCCTGGCAGGAGAAAGGAAACCTAGAAATCCTATAATATAAAAAGGCATTATGTGGCGATGCATCTCGCGCTGGAACGTGCCAGAAAAGCACCAAAACCTCCAAAAATCACGACGATATCAGATTGGTGGGAACAAGGACGTCCATCAAATATCCCAAACCAATAGATTCCAATGGTTAGTGGTTTTCCTCCCAGCTAGCTACAATCCCAATGAGACACCAGAACAATTCAAGACGGAAGCCAACACTCTACAATTTCCAAGAGGAATACATTTGACATACATCTTCTGGGCCCAACTCAGGGGTTCCATGGTTGCTATCGGCCTAATATCAGAGCTATGGATGCTACCACCAGTGGGACAGCGGAGATGCCACGCCGGGAGGGAACTCATGCAGCGAGGCCCTGCAAGCGTTTCTCGCATCGCTCCTGGCGGAGGGAAACATGGCTGCAAATCCACCAGTTGTAGATGTTTGATGTTTGATTCCAGATGATAAATCATATATAGACGAGAATTGATTGTGTTAGTTGATGATGATGATGATGATGAGGAGGAGGAGGAGGATGGAAAACAATGAAAAGGAAGATGAAAAGGAATATGGAAGTAAATGGAAAAGGAAGATGAACAGGAACATGAAAAGGGAACCTGATTAAAAGATATTAAAAGCAATATTATGAAACCGCACATGATGAAAAGGCGCATAATGAAAAGGAAAGAAGGAGAATGAAGAAAAGCAGGAAAGTGATGAAAAGGAAAATGGTGAAAAGGAAAACAAAGAAAAGGAAAATGAAGAAAAGGGAGATGATGATAAGGAAGATGATGAAAAGGATTAATTATAAAAAGAAGATGATGAACAACAATGAAAAACAAAGTGATGAAAAGGAAAATGTTGGGAAAGAAGATGACGAACAAGAATATATTCCCCATTGGAGTTGCAAAAACAAGAGGCTTCATCATATTGATACTATTTCCATCCGCAGAAGAAGTTTCCATCTATAGTTTTGATATGTAGCCAGATGCAGCCAACAGGATACCATCTGGTTATTTAACATAGCCATGGAAAATCACAATTTTTAATAGGTAAACCATCTATAAATGGGCCATTTTTCATGGCTATGTTAAATAACCAGAGGGTACACTCCGGAAATGGAAAGAACCCCAGATGCTCAGAGCATTTCCCAGAGCTTCTGGGATCCTCATCGGTGCCCGGTGCCTTCAAAGCTGGATCGTTGCTCTCGTCGAAGAACTTCTTGCACCTGGAAAAAACGTCCCCCTGCTGGGTCCTGCTTCGTGAAATTTGCATGTGGCATAGCACGACATGATACAACAAATGTTCAAAACTAATTTTAGATGTGCTAAAAACCACCATTTCAAGATGGCTAACATTGTTCAAAATTTGCAAAGATGGCATGAGTTCAAACCTTCACCTTCATGTGTGTCAGTAGGAATCTGTGACCCCAAAGCTTCAGGGGCCAAGGCACTCTTCGACATCCTCTGCAGATCCCAAAATCACCGGCACGCGCTGGTGAACCCCGACCTGCAGTATGGCCAGTGCAGTGCGTGTGATGAAAACATACAGCCCCCATACGCTGCTCACAACATATTGGAATCATGACATTGCTCTTTGCATCTCACTACCCATGCCATCTCAGGCGGTTATTCAGAGGTTGTTTAGGGTCAATGATCCTCATCCTCATCCTCCTCCTCCTCCTCCTCCTCCTCCTGATCATCATCATCATCATCATCATCATCACCGTACCTTCTAGCAGCTAGGATCGTCTGAAACAAATCAAACGCCTCTGACCTTTGACTTGCACTCTGAAATCTCCAGATTCAGGGTTTCACCATACTGAGCGACCCCCCAATCATAAACCATCTAACCATCCCCCATTTAACCCAAGGTCCTCCCGTGGTAGCATGCTAGTAAGATAAAGGAAACAAATTACTACATATACGAGCATATGATAAACTATTGTAACATATTATATAGTATAATTTAACTAATATATTTAATAATTTAAAAACTGTGATCAGACATTCTAATACTACAAACTGGATCATCCACCCATTGGTGGTTTCTTATGGCTTCTTGACAACCAGAACACCAACAAATGGATCCTCCAAAACTCCTCGCCAAGTGAACGCCAAGCGACAGGGGGAATGTCCAGAACCCGGCTGTGTCCCGTAATTGCCTGGCGAATGGAAGACATCTGGAAGGATGAATGAGGATGCCCATACATGGGGATACTAAGAAAATAAACGTAGGGATACTCTGATATTCATCTGTATAATCGCTGATTAAAAGGAACACATTCGCATTGCAGCTTTAAAAAGTGAAGCTGATATGTGTATATATATATATATGTGTGTGTGTGTGCGTGTGTATAATACACACACATATATATATATACAAGAGAAAAAGATTGAACCAAAAGCAACAAAAAATAAGGCAAACCTCAAACCAAAAATTTGGTCATGCCGTGCTCAGACCGTCCCCTGCATCTCTAACATGCCCAGGAGAAGAGGAGTGTCCTGTTTCAAATGCCAAAGATCAAGCCATGCACCAACCAATCAATGCTTTATCCACGGTTCTGGTTTTCTTTGCATAGACACTATATCATACTATATCTATTCATTTTGGAATTTTTACCATTCCATTCTTTGAACATATCCTTTGGGGTTCCATCTATAAGGGGGCCATCCTCACTACGACCTCCTAGCCCAGGCCTAACCCCAGCCCCGCGCCTTGCCACCAGCCTGCTCCATGATGAAGGACATAGGGGCGCCCTCGTAGAGCAGTCGCAGCTTGCCGTCCTGACGACGAGTCGACGACACTCGACGACGAGCAAGGGGATGTCATATGGTGACTTGAAACGGCCACATGGCATTCTTATATGGGATATGAATATCATATGAATGGGATATTCATAGGATTTAATGGGATTATAATGGGAACTAGCATGAAATAACCAACAATATAGGGGATACAACCAACAAGTCGGGGATCCAGCCACCATGGCTGTTTCAATACTAAGTCATGGTCATCCATGGCTGTTTCGGGCACCCCCATTTTGGGAACCACCTAGTCATATATAGATAGAAAACTTGGAAACTGACCTAGAAGTTATGGAAGTGATGGGGAAAACCATCATCTACCCTCTGGTGATTTAACATAGCTATGGAAAGATCCACCATTTTTAATGGGAAAATCCACTATAAATAGCCATTTTCAATAGCTATGTTAAATTACTAGAGGGTATACCATCCTGGAAAGATTTTTCTCTATCTTTGTGGGTTGCTATACTTATTTAATCTTATTTATAAAGATCCCTCCCCAGGCTTACACCAGGGGAACTTTGCCCTTTGACAAAAGGTACCTTTGCCTTTTTGACAAGAGTTGCGTTTGTTTCTCAAGTGTGTGGCACATATATAGTAAGCCATAAAAAGTAGAGAAATGTAGAAACCTATTTCCAAGTGTATGCAAGGACAGAAGGATATGATTATTACCGTATCCTGTTTAAAGGTTGCTCTAGCGATCTATAGCGGCTATAGCATAAATTTAGGTACCAGTAAATGCCTGGTCTAGGCAGGGTCGTCGCCTTCCAGGAGGACGAAACATCTCTTTGGAAGGGCTGGGTTTTGAAGCAGGAAATCCTCAATGTTTGAAGCCCCCCAGTTTTGAGAAACCACTTAAACCCAGGAGGGTACGAAACCCAGTACTCACCATGCATCCCATGCCAGCGTGTGATCACCGCTACACCCTGCAGCGCCATCTCCTGATTTTTGTTGTCCGCAGGGTACGCAAAAATGCCACCGTAAAGAAGGGTTCGGTGGATGTCTCCGACCTCGGTTCACGGAAACGGCCAAAGCCAGCCTCCAAGAGTCAGTTCCCAAACAAAACCAGACAAAAAATCACAATAGAAAACGATGCTATATTGAGAAAACAGTTCAAACAATCATCATTCTCATTATTTGATTGTTAAACAATGATGAGATGTGTCAACTAATATGATTGTTTTAAAGTTAAATTTCATGTAACATGACATATCTCAAATCATCCACTGATCCACCTTTGAGCTGAGGCCGAGGTGCCATGGAACCGATGTAACGCAAGGAGTAGGGCGTGTCAGTCTCGCCTGGATGGTGGTACTTGAAATTTCTTGGATGATGTTAAAACTGGCTGGCTCGTTGGCTTGCCCTCTGGTAAACGTTTTTCATAGCAAACTGGAAAGATCCACCATTTTATAGCTGGGCAAATCCACTATTTCGGCTGGGCCATGTTCAATAGCGAACTGTTAGTTTACCAGAGGGTATATTTCATAGAATTTATGGGTACAACACAACTACTAAGAAGATCTAATGAGCCTTTTTCACTATATTGGTTTCTCCTTCATGTCAACCCCGGATGAATAAACCACGGCTATTCATTGGGACTTACCCCCAGCATAGTGATGTACAAATTACAATTGAACTTGGTACCCCCCCTATGAATAACCTGGTGGTCTATGAATTAGGGCTTAACATTTCCTACAGTAGTGCCAGCTTCTAAAGTGTTTGGACTCAAAAAAACAACTCCAAAGACAGTCTCAGAAGGTGTTTGGAGCAGCAGGGATGATCAAAAATGCGCCAAACATATGAATCAATATTTCAAGAGTTGTGACCCCCTTATCAATCTTATCAATAAAAAAAAATCATCCAACTTGTTTATAGTCCCAAAAGTCCAACTTATCAAAACTTACTCAAATAACTTGGATAAGTTGGTGTCCCTCACCTTTTCCAGCTCGGATAGTCTGGATGTACTCGCGCATGGGCTGGTCCCATTCCTGTGAGGCCAAGCAAGCCACGAGACGGTGCAGGAAGGTTAAGTTTGATCATCAAAGCCTCAAAGTACCTCCAAAGATTGGCTGCATATATATATATATATATACATATATAATATACATATATTTTATATATATATACATATAGAAGACAAACATAGAAAAACCTAGAAAAGGCAAACACCAGTTTCTTGCGGGATTCGTGAGGGTCAACCAAACATTGATTTATCAATGAACTTTGAGATGCAACCAACAACAGTAGCTACCCAGGTCAGGATACTCCGATGTTGCCGGTGTTGGCAGAGTAGATCTTGCCCCTGGGCGGAATCTGAATCCTCAGCTCTGACATCAGTCTGGCGATTTCCAATGGATTTCCCAATGGGGGTTGGATAAAATGGTTGGGATCCTTGACCAAGAAATTGGAAATGCTGGAACTATATGCCCCTTATTCACGACTTGAAAGGCAGTTGCCTGAGGGGGGAATGATGACCAGCATTGACCAGCCATGCTTGGCTGTGGCATCCCGCCGACCTATCAATTTTCAGAGTGTAGCTCAGATCTTGAAAGTATTCAAACATCATGTCCATCAAAATCATACCCGACATAAGGTATCTAACGTCATTTTCCATAACCAATATCCAAAAGAAACGGGGTTTATGAATGTTTATCTGGTTGGTGGTTGACCTACCCCTCTGAAAAATGATGGAGTGAGTTCGTCAGTTGGGATCATTCTCCATTCCCAATTAATATGGAAACATCCATTAAAATCCATTAAAATCCATTAGAATCCATTAAAATCCATCAAAATCCATTAAAATCCATTAAAAATCCATTAAAATCCATTAAAATCCATTTAAAATCCATTAAAATCCATTAAAATCCATTAAAATCCATTAAAATCCATTAAAATCCATTAAAAATCCATTAAAAATCCATTAAAATCCATTAAAAATCCATTAAAATCCATTAAAATCCATTAAAAATCCATTAAAAATCCATCAAAATCCATTAAAATCCATTAAAAATCCATTAAAATCCATTAAAATCCATTAAAAATCCATTAAAATCCATTAAAATCCATTAAAATCCATTAAAAATCCATTAAAAATCCATTAAAATCCATTAAAAATCCATTAAAAATCCATTAAAATCCATTAAAAATCCATTAAAATCCATTAGAATCCATTAAAATCCATCAAAATCCATTAAAATCCATTAAAAATCCATTAAAATCCATTAAAATCCATTAAAAATCCATTAAAATCCATTAAAATCCATTAAAATCCATTAAAAATCCATTAAAAATCCTTTAAAATCCATTAAAAATCCATTAAAATCCATTAAAATCCATTAAAATCCATTAAAAATCCATTAAAAATCCATTAAAATCCATTAAAAATCCATTAAAAATCCATTAAAATCCATTAATCCACTATAATCCATATAACATTCCCATATGGTTCCAGTCACCAGCAACCAGTTCAACGCATCCGAGCCGCGAGGGTCGGGTCATCACGAACTCGCCAATGCCTTGGTTGTCACAGGAATGGATGATGTGTGTGTGTGTGTATCATTATATATATATGTGTGTGTGTATCATTATATATATATGTGTGTGTGTATCATTATATATATGTGTGTGTGTGTGTATCATTATATATATATGTGTGTGTGTGTGTATCATTATATATATATGTGTGTGTGTGTATCATTATATATATATATATATGTGTGTGTGTATCATTATATATATGTGTGTGTGTGTATCATTATATATATATGTGTGTGTGTGTGTATCATTATATATATATATGTGTGTGTGTGTATCATTATATATATATGTGTGTGTGTGTGTATCATTATATATATATGTGTGTGTGTATCATTATATATATATATGTGTGTGTGTGTATCATTATATATATATGTGTGTGTGTATCATTATATATATGTGTGTGTGTGTGTATCATTATATATATATGTGTGTGTGTATCATTATATATATATG